ACATTGAGTACCACCCAAGCCGGCTGGTGTTTATGAACAACTTTGGTCCCAAGGGTGGATATTCCACGGCGTGGGCCGCCATGACCATGGCGCATAAGAGCCAGATGGTCTGGTTCCGGTACGGCTGGATCACCCTCAGCAGATACATGGTCATCAACGATCTACGATTGGAGAAGGTCGAGGACATGCCTCCGGTCGAGATGCCAGTGATCGAGGCGCCGCCAGAGGCCAAGCGATCCGAGAGCAAGCGGTCCGAAACCAGGCACCGCGAGAGGAAGCACTCTGAGTCGTCTAAGAAGGAGGAGACCAAGGAGCGGGAGTCCAAGAGGTCTGAGAAGTCTGAGGGCAAGCAGCGTGAGAGCAAGAGGGAGGAAACGAAGCACCGCGAATCTAAGAAGGACGAGACGAAGCACCGCGAGAGCAAGCACGCCGAGCCCAAGAAGGAGGAGACCAAGGAGCGAGAGTCAAAGAAGGAAGACACCAAGGAGCGCGAGTCTAGGAAGGCCGAGAAGGCTGAGAAGGCCGAGAAGGTCGAGAAGACCGAGAAGGCTGAGAAGTCCGAGAAGCGGGAGGGCAAGCAGGTCGAGTTCGCCCCTATCGAGTCGGTCGAAACCAAATTCTTCGAGGTGCCAAAGGAGGAGACCAAGGAGCGCGAGTCCAAGAGGTCGGAGAAGCGTGAGAGCCGGCACTCGGAGTCCAAGAAGGAGGAGAAGGAGGATGCCAAGGAGCGTGAGGCCAGGAAGGCCGAGAAGGCCGAGAAGCGTGAGCGTGAGCGTGAACGCGAGCGTGAGAGCAAGAGAGAGGAGAAGGAGGATGCCAAGGAGCGCGAAGCCAGGAAAGCCGAGAAGCGTGAGCGCGAGCGTGAGCGTGAGCGTGAGAGAGAGCGTGAGCAGAGACACTCTGAGAAGCGCGAGAGCAGACACTCCAGCAGCAGACACTCTTCGAGTGGACTTCCCGGAGCCAGCCTCCCCGACGCTAGGCGCTCCGAGCCCAGCTTGAGACACCCTGCCGGCAGCCTCCCTGAAGCCAGCCGCTCCGAGAGCAGACTTCTCGACCCCAGACACTCTGAGAGCTCTCACCCCCCGTCCAGCAGCAGATACGTCGAAGGCAGACACTCTTCGAGCAAGCGCTCCTCCAGCAGACACTCCGAGAGCAGCAGAATCTCTTCTAGCAGCCACTCTGAGCGCAGACACCGCGACAGCAACCGCGACGGACACCGCAGACGTTCCTCCAGCAAGGTCTCCAGAACCGGCAGCGAGAGATCTTACGCCAGCAGATCTTAAGGGAATCGACAGAACAGCCATGACGAGTCACGAAGGTAAGGGATGAGAAAAAAAAAGAGAGAGAGAAAGAGAGGCGCATATACCACCAGAGAAGAAAAGTCGAAAAAAAACGGCACAAACATACCCCCTCCGTCCAACCCACCCACACCATCCCCTCCACCACGTTCATGAGCAGGCGTTCGTATCATGAAGCTTACGCATGTCTTTTTTTCTTCTTTTTCTTGTTTTTCATCTGGCTTTTCCTGATTTTCTTCGCGGCCCACGACACGACAACGACAAAAATCACCACACGATATATGCAGAGAAAAGCTTTTACAAAACCCGAAGAAAAAAGATTCCCCTCCAAGAGAAAAAAGAGAGAGAAAAGGTCATCTAGCGTTGGCGGCTAAATTGAAAGACAAAAGAGAAAATACACCGACGGCATAGCATCATGTATGAACCGAACAGATCTGTAGGAACGAATATTGTTAAAAATCATTTTGCGTCCCTCATGAGTGCGTGAGTGAGGAGCTACATCCACCCTTGCGTGGTCTGAGTGAGTACGTAACAGTCATCCTACAGCAGTCCAATCGCGACTCTCAAATGTCACTTTGGCAAGGTCACTCAGACGTGGTGAAGTGCTGAAAATTTTGATCTCAGATTCGACTCTATTTTATATGCATATGGTCCTCTCTCTATCCTTTATGCGACAACTGCCATATATGCAACGTCTTGTGCCTCACCAAAGCAGGCTCCTCAGCACTAGCCTCTTCTTGAGTCCGCTCTTCTGTATTCTCCACGCCTCCTCATTCAGCGCGCGGCCAAACGACTCGTGGTCTTCATCCACCACTCCCTCGTCGGCGTATGTAAGCCCCTTCTCCAGCTGTCCGAAAACACGGTCCGTCCGTTTCCGCACCATCTCCTTCGTCCATCGGTTGAGCCTAATCGTCGTCGTCTCATACAATTGCTTGCCCGACTCCATTACCACCGGGATCAGCGGGCGTTCCTCGCCCTCCTGGGCCTCGTCAGCCCCGAGATGGGTGTGCTTGGGCTTAGTCCGATCGGGAACGCGTAACGCTGTGGGCGGACTTCGGGTCACTTGCGAGGTCCAGGAATGTCTCATGGAATTCTGCGGCGTCTCGAGCCTTACGGTACCGCCGCTCGTCTTATACGTGGCCGGGTTCGGTAGGAAGTCCTTGAACTCGGCGACAAAGGCGGGGACCGTCCGCGACGAGAAGGCCTCATTAGACCGATGGAGCTTACTGGACGTCTCAAGCCAAGTCCAGCACCATACTTCTATGGCGAACCATGTAATGTGCTGCTTCACTTTTGCCCGCATGTGGCGTGTAACAGCTTCTGGCGGCGCCGATCTGTATAGCCTCTCGAAAAGAGCTGTCTCCACGTCCTGGCAAGTCGATTCGTAAATGGCGACGCCACGGCGCATCTCTTCCCGTGCTCTCTCAACTTGGCGAGATGCGATGAGGTTCTTGACGTAGATGTCCAAGTCCTTGAATTCGGGCTCAACTGGAGTCGCAGACCATCCGTGCTCTCCAGATAACATCATGTGCCAGACATCGAGAACATCTTCAGGGGCGACGATCCTGTTGGGGTCTCCGAGAATCTTGTACTCGGTCGAGGCCGGCTTGGAAGCAATGACGTGCGTCCATTCGAGGAGCAAAGACCATGTCTCCCGTGGAATCGGGACTTGATATTTGTGTGACAGAAAAATCATCAGCTTCCGGGCAAGAATGACGTGGCCGGTGCATCCCAATGCATCGACAAGGGCATTCATTACGCGTAAGTTGGGCCTGAACAAGAGACCACGGTCTAGCACGCCTCCAACGATGTCAGTATCGCGGTGACTCTTAAAGTCAGTCAAACTGATCCTCCAAGTCGACCACAACTGGCGGAGTAGCTCCCTCAAAGATCCTGCTCTACCGCAGGCAATGAAGTACGTAGATAGAATATCGCGGTCGACGGTCAGGCGCCTCTTCTTGACGGCGCTGTAGGTACGCCGGATCGGTTGATGTAGACTGAGGACTCTGTGCAAGTCGTGCGTTGGCTGATTAGGCGATCGTCCGTAATACGAGCGTTGGTGTGCGAAGATATTCAGGCGCAACCTGTCCAGGCGATACAACAGCTTCTTCTTGGCGAAGCGCTTCCTGTGGCCTGTCAAATCGCGAGGTCGCATGCGGACTCTGGCAAGATCACGTTGCATGTAAATCGGCTCAGTGAGAAATCGGGCCTTCATGAACTCGTTGTACGCCATCCCACTACCAGCAGTCTTGGTCTGCCCCCCTTCCCTTGACTGCTTCCAGATAACCTTTGCGGTCTCGATATCCGATGCAGCGCCGGCGCATCGTAGGAGCACAATGTAATCAGACAGGGTCAGATCTCGGCCTTGTTTTTGACGCAAGTCGAGAACCGAGCGAATTAGCTGTAGCGTGTTGTAGTAAAGCTTGCGGACGCCAAATTCGTTGTCGAGAGATGCAACAGGGCTGAAGTACCCCAGCGCCCTCGAGATGCGGAACCCGTTGGTGACATCGGCTCGCGAGGCAATCCGGAAAGGATCCAGTGATCGCACGAGCTCCGAAAAGGCAGTCGCCGGCAGAGCGATGAGGGCCTCCATGACCTTGTATGGTTCGTCATGTGTACCCAGCGCCTTGAGCTCCATGAAAATGTCCATGGTTCTCTGCGACTGGACCGCGCTCAGCAACTTGTCCAGGATCCCGTCCTTTGTCGGTTTCTTGCTCGGTTCGAAGACCTCGCGAAGGGTACTCGCTTGAGAATATCGTCTTCCTGGACTCGAGACATTCGGAGAAGGCTGCTTTGGTGAAGCCCTCGCGGTCGAGGCCACGGTGTGGAGGGTTTGGTGTCTTTGAAGGCATCGTCGTAGTCGCGCAGCATGGACGCGGGAGGGGGTGCCGCGAGGAGGAGGATGGAGCTGAAGGAGCTGCCGAAGGCCATTGGCCTTGGCAGAAGGTGTCATGATGCAGAGGAGGAACGTGTTGGTCGAAGCATTGGACAATCAGGGTCGTTCTGGCGCAGCAGAAGGTGGTGGGCGCAAAAGATGCAGCGACGAGAAGATGGAAAACAGCTTGCGGTCTGGGCGGAAGAAGAAAATAACAGTCGCAAGCTGTCCCTCCTCCTCCTCACCTACCAACCTACCCTCCTCCTCACGGGTGCGCCCCCTCAAGCGAGGTGAGGAGGCGCGCAGGGCAAGCATGGAAGCTAATACCTGCCTACCTTACCAGCCGGGTATGCGAAGGCAGGTACCTCCCAGCAGCAGACGGGAGCACCTCCCTTGGCTTTACCCCGACTTTCCAGGGCATCGCTCCTCCCCTCCTCGCGTGCTCTTACACACAGCACCTGCCGATGGCTGCTTTAGGGCCCTGCTCCCTTCCAGTCCGCCCCGTGCCACCCCTGGACAGCGGACGGGAAGCGCTGGGGCTGCTGGGGCAGGACCCAGTGCGGCCCACTTTCCGGCGAGCCGTTGCACGGCTGCTGCCCATTGTGGGCTGTTTTATCGGAACATTATTACGACGGCCGCCGACGCCGCTGGCCAATGAGCTTGGGGCGACGAAAATGCACAACTCTGAGGGTGATGTGTGCCTGGACCCACCATTGCTCTCGGCCATCCCAGTTGAGCTGCCGCCTCTCCGTCGATATACGCGCTTCCGACCCGATTGAACGACATCCTTCCTGACCCTACCGAGCCCGCTCTTTCTTTATCTCACCATGGCGGACGTTGGCGACGAGACCTCCCACGTCCAGGAGCCTCTTGACCTGGTCAAGCTCCTGCTCGATGAGGTAGTTTTCGTCAAGCTCAGAGGCGACCGTGAGCTTAAGGGCCGGCTTCATGTGAGTTTTGCAAATGTCGGGGCTTCCTTCACACTCGCTGACCATTGAATTGCAGGCATACGACAGTCATTGCAACTTGGTGCTGGGGGAGGTCGAGGAGACCATCTACGTCGTCGATGAGGATGAGGAGGAAGAGGAGGTGAAGGTGAGATGAGAGACGAGACCTCCATCCCGGCCATCACCCACTAACTAAAGGTTCTAGACCATCAGCCGCAAGTCTGAGATGCTGTTTGTTCGAGGTATGTTGTCTCTGTGGCGCGCTCGTGAAGCCAGTATCTGACCCTTTGCAGGCGATAGTGTCGTTCTCATCTCCCCTCAGGGATCTTCATAGCATGCTCAAGATCGAGCACAACTCATTACACCAATTGAAATCAACCTCCGTCATACCAAAGCGGATACGTCTGGGCCGATGGCCATCTCTTCAACATATCATGCTCTGAGCTTCCCGCCCAGTCGAACAAGCCACCCGTGCCATCAATACCACTACTGCTATGCTTTCATACCTACCCTGCTCGAAGCTTGGTTTGACCATCGGAGGCCTCTATTTGCACACTGCACATCACCTCTCCGAAACTTGCTAAAGGGCAGTGTAGGGAGGTTTTGCTCCTCAGCTGAGGACTATTCAACTGGTTTGCAAGGCGACTTGGCGCGCTGATTAGATGGGGTTCTTGATTCGGTATCGCTTATTCCAAGATAGAGAAAATTATACCAATGGAACGCAATGATTACCATCCACGCTGTTCTTAATGACTCGTCAGTCTCGTTTCTTTTCCCAGGACTATGTTGACCATGGCACGAACAAGACATGGAGTTGACAGAAGCAGCCCCACAGACGGCGCAACAAACCCGGATGGAGGTAAATACAAAGTGGAAGCTCTCGTTCTGCCTTGACTCACTAATCGAGCGGCTCTCCTCGTAACTTCTGCCCAGTTCGGGGGCCATGCGTAGAGTCACCAACTATGGGGGCAGCGGGGCTTTAAGGCTGAGCTGAGCTGAGCTGGTGAAGCGTGGGACGAACGCAGGACACAATCCGGGGCTGCGTCAAACAGGTGCATTCCTGTTGGCTCGTGCCAAAGCTCTTATCGATAAGCCCCGCCGAGTTACTCATAGAAGCTGCTGCTTTGACTACTCTCGGTTGGTGAATGAGGCCAATTGCTGGATCAATTGAATAGCAGGTGGCGTCAACGTTCTGGAAAGTGATTGTTAAGGATGATACTCCAGTACAGTGAGACTCGAAATATTTATTCCAAGGGGAAATGCGAAGCAGAAAACGACATCAAGGTAGATGGCGACTTAGTCACAGCCGATTGCAGCCGGTCGCGGTTCTGTAAAGCAGCGGCGCAACGGATCAGCTTGTGGCCCCCCCTGGCCGGGGTGGGGAGCCAGCAGCGGCAGTGGTCTGTCCTCCTCGGGCCCTCAATTGTCACTGCTCTTTGACTTCGCCGCCTCGAGTCAATCTATGACTCTTTTTTCCATTTGCCAAAGACACCCAATCTAGGTACTGCATCAGCCTTAAAACAACGTGCCGCTCTTCGACCCATCGCCACTCTACCTCTCACCTCCATCATTTCTAGCGTCATTGTCTCCCAAGCTTTGGACAGAGAGTAACGGCGACGCTACATCCAATGATCATCAGGATACGAACGTGAACGCGCCTTCATCACTCCAACATGACGACAAAAAACATCAAATCATTACCGCACGAGAAGCGCAGGGGCGAGGCTGCCCTTAGCGACTTTGCCGACTACGTCGAGAAACAGCAAGCCCTGCGATATCCCTCCGCCGCGAAGTCGACCGATGCCAAAGCCGCCACCGCCGCGGCGGCTGGCACCGAGCACCAGCATGCCGAACTTGACGAGCTCTTCGACACCCTCGACCTCGCTGATGCCGCCGGCCCTGGCGTCCGTCTCAAAGACCTCCTCCTGGCTGCCGACGCCGACAACGACGACGAATCCCTGAAGAAGCTGGAGGACATACTCAACGAGAGGATAACCGAAGGCCACGGCGAGACCGTCTTCGAGCTGGGCTTCGAGAACAATGGTGATTCCATGGCTCTGTCGTTGGAGCAATGGAACGCCGCGTACACAAGAGTTCAGGAGGCGGCGAAGAGGATACGAGCCCGTTGTCAGTTGCTCATCACCAAGAATGTCGGCGGCGACGTCGAAGCTCCGAGTGCCAAATCGGGCAAGGACAGTCACTGCAGCGGCAAGATCATGATCCGTCAGACCCCCGCGACCGTCGAGGATGTTATCGAGACGAGGATAGCCGTCGTTGGCAATGGTACGTCGGCCTCATCCATCTGCTGTGTTTTTTCCTTCGTGCTTCCGCTCTGGTTTCGCCTTTGGCCCTTTTGCGTGGTCCTGCTTTATTGCCCCTCACCCACTGAATATGACTGACCGATATATGACAGTCGACGCAGGAAAAAGCTCTCTCTTGGGTGTGTTAGTCAAAGGCGACCTCGACGATGGCAGAGGTAGAGCACGAGTCAACCTCTTCAGACACAAGCACGAGATCGAGACGGGGAGAACCAGCTCTGTGGGCATGGAGATATTAGGGTTCGATACCGTTGGAGAGGTCGTCACCTCTGACACCCCTGGGCGCAAGCTGTCCTGGGAGGAGATTGGGAAGCGGAGCGCAAAAGTCATCACCTTCACCGATTTGGCTGGTCATGAGAAGTACCTGCGCACCACCGTCTTTGGCCTGCTCTCGAGCAGCCCCAATTACTGCTTGCTCATGGTAGCGGCCAACAACGGGCTGATCGGTATGAGCAAAGAGCACTTGGGCATCGCTCTCGCTCTCAACGTGCCGGTGATGGTCGTTGTCACCAAGATCGACATTTGCCCGCCCCAGATTCTGGAGCAGACCATCAGCCAAATCACCAAGATCCTCAAGTCTCCTGGGGCCCGCAAGATTCCCATCTTCATCAAGGATCGCGAGGAGTGCATAAACACTGCCACTCAATTCATCAGCCAGAGGATATGCCCCGTCTTCCAGGTCTCCAACGTCACTGGCGAGAACCTCAACCTAGTCCGGACATTCCTCAACATCCTGCCGCATCACGGCCGATATGACTCCGAGGCGCCGTTCGAGTTCCACATCAATGATACCTTCTCTGTGCCGTTCGTTGGCACTGTTGTCTCTGGAATCATCAAGTCGGGTGTCATCCACACTGGAGATAACGTCCTTGTCGGCCCAGACTCGTTGGGCAACTTCGTTCCAACCAGTGTGCGCTCCATTGAGCGGAAGCGCCTTGGAGTTCCTGCCGCATCTGCTGGCCAGTCTGCCAGTTTTGCGCTGAAAAAGTTGAGGCGAAAAGACGTCCGGAAGGGTATGGTGGTTCTGCCAAAACTTGAGGGTCAGCCCGCCCCCAAGGTGCACCGAGAGTTCATTGCTGAGGGTGAGTCATCTCCGTTCCATTTCTTGCGTTCCATGACTGTACACTGTCCCTGTCGTTTTCTGACATCGTCGCCGATCTCTGACTTCGTTGTTGGTGTCTGGCTTCGCCGTCCGTTCGTGGCTGTGCCTTCTCTGGCGTTGTCGACGCAGTCCTTATCCTTGTCCCCAATTCCCCTGCCGGTTTTGTTGTCTGCCAACGCAATGTACTGACTAGCTCAGTGTTAATTCTCTCCCATGCGACAACCATTAAAACAAAGTATCAAGCGATGCTTCACGTTGGCCCTGTGTCGCAGACGTGCGCAATAATAGACGTCGACCGCCCTTACATCCGAACGGGCGACAGGGCAACGGTGGCCTTCCGTTTCGTGCAGAGACCGGAGTATCTTGCTCCTGGGGATAGGTTGTTGTTCCGCGAGGGCAGAACCAAGGGTCTCGGAATCGTCAAATCGGTTGGATACGACCCGAACAAGCCATTATATCCTCATGGCGACGCCGAGAGCGGTGGGGTGACTAACAGTGGGAACGACGAGGAAAAGCCAGCAAACGGCCAAGAGGTCAGCGTTGGTGCTTAAACAGGCGACGTCCTATTTTGATTGCGGCACCGCTACTGTATGTCTGATGGCTCTGCTGTCGTTGTTGCTAATCCCACTCCGTTGACTCACTTGTCCTCGGTCACTGCCGAACACAGGAGACGGAGTCGCCATTGCACGACAAAAGTAGAGCCTCTCTAGCCGAGGCCTAGGGAGGAAGAGGACTATTGTTGCGGGAAGGCAGACACTGAGAACAGCGGGCCGGGCTATCCTTGTACGATTATTTACGGAGCGTTCCTTTTCTCAGTATGCATTGGGTTTTGGTGATACCAGGTATATACATTCAGGAGGTACAGCGAGTACCTCACACATTCATTCCTTTATAATGCACTCATGATCACATTTCGGATGTCTACTCATTCATGCCAATTCTTGAAGTGCTCATTCACAGTCCGCAACTCTCCGCCATCTTCCTCGGGAAATCTACCAATCTGGCCTCCCACCGTCCTCTCCACCTAGGCTCGATGAAATCACAGATTGCCAGTGTCTCCAGCACAGCACGCCTCCACATCCACCAATACCTTCGGTTACAGACCCTAGCAAACCAATACGCCAGCATCAGCATCGCCCTCTCATCCTTGTGCTCCAGCAGCCCCTTAAACCGCGGATCCAGCTTGCTCAGAAACGTCAAGAACGGCTTCGCCTCCTCCGGCGACCCGGGCTTCGCCGTCCGCCCCCAACACGCCGCCAACGACTCCGCCGCCGTCCAGTACGGGTTATCCTCCGGCAGCCCCTCCTCCAGCTTGTACAGCTCGCAGAACCCGTCGGGGAGGTTCGCGCGCATGAACGCCACGTCCTCGGCGCCAAACCTCAGTTTCGAGGCGGGGAGGAGGACGTGCGTGTACAGCTCGTTCGCGACGTCGCGGAAGATGCCCTCGGAGCGCAGCGGGTCCGCCAGGCGCCAGACCTGCTTCTTGCCGTCGCCTAGCTTCAGCCAGTCGAGGTCCTCCCAGCAGGGCGGGCGGAGGGGCCAGGCGTCGCGGGGAGAGGCGATGTCGGAGGTGTTGGCGAAGGAGGCGACGCCGACGAAGGCGGCGGCGACCCAGAGGGCGTCGCGCTCGGCGGGCAGGATAGGCTTGGAGAGCTTGCGGTGGAGGAGGGAGATGGCGCGGTACCAGTGGTAGGTGAAGGCGGGGTTGGCGGTACGTGTGGTAGTTGTGAGGGACATGTCGTGGAGGTGGGTTAGGGCGAGGATGGTGTGCATCACGAAGGGGTGCTGGAACGCGATGGGGAGGGTCTTTCGCTCGTAGATGTCCTTGGTGGTGGGCGTGCCGAAGCTGATGACGGTGCGCTTCTGGAAGCGCTCCAGGAGGCGGACGTCGATGGGTGTTAGTTGGTAGGCCGCGTCCGGGCTTTCGGGGGAGCCGGTGGACGGCAGCGGGGGAGGAAGGGTGCGGGGGAGATAAGACACGGGTTTCCGGGAAAGGGCCGCGGCGGTTTTCACACGGCAAGGGGCTAGGTCTACTTTGAAGGCTACCTCGACCGATAGTGACGCTGCTTCGGAGGAGGGACCGTAGGTGCAGGTCACGCCGTAGTCGAGGCATTTCTTGCAGCGGGGCTTAGATTCGTCGCACTGGAAGAGTATTAGTCACTGACTCCGGGTGCTGGCATCATGTAGGGTAAGGGGTGGGCGAGAGCTGAGAGATGGCACATATTTGGGCGAAGACTTTGGGGGAAGAGGGTACGTACTTTGACTCTGCGCAGCTTGCAGTTCCCGCATCCCTTTCTGGATTTTGTATGGGATTTCCTCTTGCGGACATCACCTCTCGAAGGGGGAATGGAGGAAGTCATTCTTTGGTGTGCCTGCTCCTGTCTGAAACGTCGTTTGTTGTGCGGGTGTCTGTCTGTCTGGGCCCAGGTCCGTAAGCACAGTCGTGAGCACCGCTAGCTCCTCTCGATGCAGTCTCACGGGCGATACAAGTTGACTGTTCAGCAAAGGGCTCAGTTTACAAGTACTGCTTGACGTTGTGTGATACGAACGGAGGCAAGAGGCAAGAAGAAAACAGATCCTACATGGTGAGATCCCGTTTGTCCCTACCGGAGTTTAGGGAGCCCCACCTCCGGGGCCTGGGGCCCGATGGTACGCCCATTGCCGATCGGCCGATCACCCCGGTCCGCCGTCAGCATCGGGGCCCTGATTGGGTGGGTTCGGGGCGCAGATTCCAGTCTAACCTCCGTTCGTATTCCTGAGATCCTTCGAGGCCTGCTGCACGAGTTTTTGAAATGTTGGTTTTTGGACCGGAGAAGAGCTGCGATGTTCTTGGTACGGGAGTAATCAAACTTCAACGAAATTACCTCGATGATTTGACTCGGATCGATTCGATTGCCGACTCGACGTTTGGATCTCAGAAGGACTTTTCAACGGAAGCGTGCATGAAGAGCGCCAACAGCAAGCAACAACGTGGCTCATCACACTTAGCCGTTTATCCATCTTCGGAGGAAAAGAAAAAGCAACAGCTCCGCGCCCGCAAGCTGTACATATCGGGAGGACCGGACAGATTCCATTCCCAATGCGGTCTGCTTCTGCAATCGCGATCGGCTCCGATAGTCGATTTCTGGCGGTTACGTGCATCATCAACGGGTGCTCGCGTTTACGAGGTTGCATCGATGCAAGCGCGCTGTTGTTGGTGGACAGATGCTGGTTCAGTCCGTGGGATAGTCGAGATGGGCTGGGCTGGGCTGCAGGTGAGACAAACATGATGCGGCTCCGTCTTCGCTGCGACGAGATAAGCGACGACTGCGAGAACATGTGTTTGTTCGACAGAATGGGGTGCAGGGGAATGAAGATCGGACGTATCACGCATTTTGCATCGTCGGGAGATCACGTGGAGGATCATGCATGCGACCCTTTTAAAAGCCCAAAAAGGCGATGCTTGAGATGGACTTTTCAGCCAGCAGAGCGACTCGCGGGTTATCGTTGGGACTGATCTCCGTCGTTACGCCCAATGTCATATCCAACAGAACAAGATACCAAAGGATCTCGAACAGCAGCAGTATCATAAGGTAAAGTAAGAAAAGAGTCAAACAACACGCTTTTTGTATATCAGACTGAACTGTTGAGCAGCACTAACAACCTTCCCATATATGACCCGGCATCAACATCTAATTACTTGCCCTCAAACGGCGCCCGCATCCCTTGCTGCATGATCCTCCCCGCCGTCCTCTGCGCCCCCTCAATCACCTTTTGCTTCTGCTCCTCTGGAATCTCGGGATACAATGCCTCCAGCGGCACATCCCTCACGGTAATCTCGGACTTCTCGTGGGTGCCGATCTTCTGCGTCTCGACCACGCTGCCGGCGCCGTACTCGGGCTCCTGCATCACACGCATAATGATGGCGGCACACTCACGCGCCGTCATGTGCACGTCGTCCTTGGTCACCTTCCTGTTCCACTCGGGCTCGAAGATGGGTGTCTATTACAAGGTTCAGCTTCAACTTGGAACATAGAAAAGGGGGAGACGGGAAAGCTCACCAGGACTGCTCCCGGGCATATGGCAGAGTACCTGATCCCGCAGATATCCCTCAGCCCGCCCATGCACTTGACGAAGCTCACGAGCCCGGCCTTACCCGACATGTACAGCGGCGTCTCGAACGAGTGCACATACCCGCCGACGCTCGCCACGGCGACAAAGTTGCCCTGCACGTCCTTGTTCTGCGTCCAGTAGTCCGTGGCCATCTGCGCCAGCCGGATCGGCGCGACCTGGTTGACGGCTATGATGCGGTACTGGCCCACGGCCGCGTCGGCAGGATCCCCGGACTCCGCTGAGATGCCAGGCGGGAACCAGAAGCTGCTCTCCGGGGGTTCGTAGATGCCCGCCACGGCGGCGACGATGTCGACGCGCCCGAAGAGTGCGAGGGTCGTCTCCCAGAGGGACCGCAGCTGCGCCCAGTCGGCGACGTCGGTGCGGTGGAAGTGCGCGGAGGCGGGGCCGCCGGCGGGTGGGGAAGGCGGGCCGCGATACTGGGCGAGGGTCGCCTCGGCTTCCGGGCGGAGGCGGAGGTCGGCCATGACGACGGAGCAGCCTGCCTCGAGGAGGAGCTGGGTCAGGCTATGGCCTATGCCGGAGCCGGCGCCGGTGACGAGGGCGACTTTGCCCCGGACTTCGTAGAAGGACATTGCTGACGAGATATGCAGTGAGGAATAGAATGGGAAACGCAGGAAGAAGATGGGAAACACAGATGACACAGAGGATGACAGGAAGTTAAGATAGAAGGATTACCGTCTCTGGGTATTTGTAGCTCGTCGGCCTGGACTTGGCCTCGCGTGGGGGGGTTAAGAAGTCCATCTTCAGCTTCCATCCTCACCTCCGCCTGCGCCTGAATGCGCCTAAATTGGCGGGTAGCCGCATCCCGGCAAGTCTTCCAGAAGTCCGGGACGCAATAATGTGATGGGCCGTCTTGTCCTTGCTGCGCTACTTGTGCCCGTCACTTGTTCTTTCTTGAACCAACAAGCAGGTGGTGTGACCAACGCGCATCAGTCCACAGCCATGTCCAGAGATTCCTCGACCGGTGAGGTGCAGGGAGGATGACAAGGTATCGATCCCTCGAGCAGGATGGTAATCGCCTGTTTGGACTCTGCGGCTGTCCATACCTATCGACGACGGGCGGTTTCCGAGGCATGAGAGGGCCCGTAGACAAACAGATTGATGGAGAACTCGAGATGCACGCCCCCGCTGAAGAGTTCCCGGTTAGCGGTACGAACAAGCTGGAGCAGCCCAAGTTGCCATGTGGTGCTAGCGAGGTTCCTCTCCACAGAACATTCAAAAAGGCCCCTGGAAGCCCGCGAACACGGGCGTTTGCACTCTGCTGGTCCACGATTTCCCCTGGCCAACCCTGCTGATGGGCAATGTCACCCCCACCAACAGTGGCGCCGTCTACTGCAGATATCCCGGGATCCAGCACCAACGACAAGATGCGCTGCTGCAGCTGTCCAGATGCGGCCTGGGGTTGAGCGGTCTGCGGGCGATGTGATGGGGGAAAAAGGGCCTTTGGTGCACTGCCTATGGGAAATAACTCTCATTTTAAGGTTTATCATCGCATGTCGTCTGCTTTTTGGAGCGATGGCAGGACTCGAGACCCTCAATTACTCGAGGATGTGTTTCAGGCGGTCCCCTGCATTTTCCCAAAGTAGAAAATGCTTTTCCCTGCTGGTCGGAATCCTTCGTCGAGGGATGTGATGTGAGTGTGAGATCACACTGATCTTGCAACATGAGACCCGCAACTGATAAACGAACACGAGGTAGGGTGAGGTGAGTTATGATGACAAGAGCTATTGGGCGGGGATGTTCACTTTGGGTCTCCGGAAGCCACTTCTTCTACGGATAAGTGTTAACCTCGCATTCCAGTATACATCACTACGACCCATATCTCACACATCATCATAATCTCTTGAGAAATCAACCAGTTGTTACTGAATTCTACAGAGACAAGACCTAACTCGTTCTATGCAATAGACACGGTGACATGGTAGCCACGAAAGACGCCGTCTAACCATATGCAAGCCACTATTCTACCGCAACACGCCAGTCTCTACAATCACAAATCATGGCCGTCTATTTCGCAATCTCAACGCCTCCAGTGGCACCCAGAGCCTTCTTCAAATCACCATAAATCGCAAACTGTCCCGCCGTCAGCGCACCGACCATGAACAGACGCGCCGGCAGACCGCTGAACGATCCACGAACACCAAGCTCCTTGGCGATCTTGACCAGCCTGCTCGTCGTGCTTTCTCCAGGAAGACCCTTGGTCTTGTTAATCTTGGACAGCATGGTGTCAGCCGGCTGCGACACGATGGCCGCCGCGAAACCCGCAATGAGGCCGGAGCCGAGGTTGATCGTCGTCTGCATGCCGTCGCTCGTCTTGCTCTTGTCGAAGAAGTTGGCGTACGCGAACTCGGAGACCTTCTCGAACGCGACGAACTTGGTCATGGTGTACGGCACCTGCTTGAAGAGGATGGGCCCGAAGCCCGAGTAGAAGGCGGCGAGGCCCTCCTGGCTGGCGATCTTGGAGAAGCCAGAAACCAGCCCGGAGGCGAAGCCGGGCTGCGAGACGAGGCGGATGCGCGTGGCCTCGAGCGGGCACAGGGCGATGTCGGCGAAGAACTCGGCGGCGGCGGCGGAGACGCAGTAGACGGCGATGCGGTTCGCGCGCGCGTTCTCGTAGCCGACGGTGTCGATGGACTTTTGCTTGAAGAACTCGTAGCCGCCGAACTTGAGGGCGCCCTGGAGGAAGTAGCCGGCGAACGTGGGACCGGCGCCGGTGAGCAGGGCGCCGGCGCCTTCGGTCTGGATCACCTGGCGGAACCCGCCGATGAGGCCGCGGTTGTAGGTTGCGGGGTCCAGTTGGATGCGGGTTTTGACGCTGGAGGTACGTTAACATTGCACGCTTCTGGATCGATGAGGGATTTGCGGGAGGACGTACACGTCGACGGGGGTGAGACCGCCGTGGGTGACGGAACAGCACACGGCGCCGGCCAGGGCGAACCTCGAGTAGAGGTTGAGGCCGGAGAGCTTCTCGGGCTCGGCCTTGACGGCGGCGAGCGTCGGGGCGGCAGTCGTTCCACTCATCTTGCCGGTGTTTGACTGTGAGTGAGGAGGAGAGGGGAGATTTCACCTAGATTCGTGAGGTGAGAAGGGAGGTGAGATGAGTCAAATGAGGCTGCGCTGAGTGGTTAAAGCGACGGTCGCCGAGCACGTGCGGGAGAAGTCACAGGGACGGCCCGCTAATACACCGGGTACTGCAGGGGGCGTTTTGGGACTTTTGTTGTTTATCGTCGGCTATGCGTAGGTAATACGAAGAAGATAGTTGGTACGTCAGCCCCCTGAACTTCGGGTTGTCTGGGTCCGGGAATGGCCGGAGGAAAGCGGGTGTCGCCGGGGCGAATGTCCGGGCGTTGGCGCCGGCTTTGTTTGCGGCGGGAACGGGCCTCTTCGAGGTTTCGCGGTATTTCTGAACGGTCGCCTCCGAAGATGTAAAGGTTGCATCTGTGGAGGAGGAGAACCCGATTGGCAAAACTGCTCGTGCCCCGCTCCGTGCGGCGAATTGGCTGCCATTGAACGCTATGCTTTCTCCGACGACAAGGTGCTGGGCATTGGAATGCACATTCCACTCATCTCCTCCGGAGACAGCCAGGCTTACATGATCTGCGATGCTAACCTGTACTCGTACCCTCCGAATCCTGCGCTAACCAAGCTTCGTACCACATCTCAGGGTCCGAGGGGCCGATACAGCCACACAGTCTTAATGAGGAAATGTTACCCTTTTTCGCCCGTAAAGTTCATGTTGATGCTTCCAGCTTTGGGATTTGGGATCCAAACCACTTCGCAATGGGTCGAGGATGTTCTGCCGTAGAGGTTTCCATGGTCGCAGTTAAGGCTTTCTAAGGCCGTCTAAAATCGGACAGTCTCTTCTGAACCGTAAGGATGAGAGTATAAAGCACCTCAGCCATCGACATTTTCCCGAGGATATCTAATAACAACTCGAAAGTCTACGAATATAATACTAGAAATATCATATTGCCTTCAAGATGACTCCAATCCCATCTCAAATGCGCGCCCTACACCTTCTCTCCCCTGGACAAGCAACGCTTGCCTCCCTCCCCACCCCTTCTCCACGGCCAGGAGCCATACTTATCCGCATCCTGACAGTCTACGTCCAGTCCAACACCGTCGACATTCTAAACGCCTCTCATCCCCTCTATGAGCTACCATACCCGGTCATCCCAGGCACAAACGCCATCGGCCGCATCGCCGCCCTCTCCCCCGACACTACCTCTTTCCAAGAGGGTGACTTGGTCCTCCTCGACTCCTTCATCCGGGCCCGCGATGATCCATGGAGTGTACAGATTCTCTGGGGCGCAAACGCCGGTATCACGCCTGCTTCAAAGGAGTTTTTGAAGGGGAACTGGAGAGATGGGTGCATGGCTGAATATGCTCTTGCACCGCTCGAAAATGTGCACCTGTTGGACGACACGAGGTTGACCGGTTCGCCATCAAATGGCGGCCTCGGCTACAGGATCAATGAGTTACTCTATCTCGTCTCTTGCATCATCGTGTACGGCGGTTTGAAGGGTATCAACCTGCAGCCCGGGGAGAGAATCATCGTCACCCCCGCGACGGGAGCATCTTCCGGTGCAGCAGTGGCCGTGGCTCACGCCATGGGCGCAAACGTCATTGCCGCCTCTCGCTCGGCCTCGAAGCTTGCGTCGCTGAAAGCTTCGATTCCAACTTCACCCGGCAGGCGGCTGATCGAGACCGTTGTGATGACGGACGACGTCCAGAAAGACGCTGCAGCTTTGCGTTCGTTTGGACCTGTCGACGCGGTGATCGACATGTCGCCCCCGGCGGCGACTGGATCACAGCATATCAAGTCTGCGGTGTTGGCCCTCCGGGCGTATGGTCGGGTGTCGTTGATGGGAGGCCGGGCTGATGAGAGCTTGCCGTTCCCGTGGCTGACCATCCTTGCGAATAACTTGACCATTAAGGGGCAGTTTATGTACGAGAGGAAGGATGTGAAGGAGCTCATCAGCTTGGCCGAGTCGGGACTGCTGAAGATGGGGAAAGAGGCGGGGCATGAGGTGGAAGAGTTTCCTCTTGAGAGGTGGGAGAAGGCGGTGGACTTTGCGGCGAAGAATACTGGACATGGGAAGATGACTTGCATCGTGCCGTGAGCTGCTGGATGCATGGGGAACGGCGGGCGGAGGAATGGGGTACCTCCAAAACGAATGTTGTTTCTTTGGATTCGTAACCTCAATCTCATCTTACTATGCGTCCCTTGCATTTTATTCTTTTCTGGACAAGTAGTGTCTGCATGTCTCCCCACTCCCTGTCCACGACCATTGGTATCCTCGCAGCCTGCGTCAACATCAAAGAACAGCATCAGACTACGCGGGCGAGAACGCCGAATGGCTCCTGGACTCGCGATACTTATAAATCATGGCGCCAAGTGGCCTGGAGAAATGATTGAGCGCGGCTGTCATCAGCATGCTTAGCCACACGAAATGCAAAGAATCGTGATAAGAACCCACCATGTCTGCAGGTGAGGACTTGGCGCTGTGCAGCTATTTGTGAAGAAATCAGTTGACCCCGCCCACTCCGAAATCTCGAATTTGCCGTCGATACCTCACCCATCTGCCTCCTTATTCCATCATTGTCAGCTGGGGATTCCTATGGCTTTGTGTTCTCCCTGCCAAACTCTCGACTTCCGCTTTGTTGGATACTATCGCCCCGAATTAGATTATCCAAGGGAATTGGTTGCGGCGGCGGACGTTGAATTGGAAAATGAGGAAGAGGGAGAGGGAGAGGGAAGATCCGAGTTCCCGACGACACTCGATATAGGCGAGAACGAAACCGACGGAGATGATCATGATGCTGTGACTGAACGCGAACACGATGGAGAGTTGTCTGCAGCTTCTGACACCAGCTCCTCTCAAAGGCTCCCAGGCAACGAAGACCTTTCACTACGAGAAGTTCTCGATCGCAAGGACGTTTGCCTGTTCTGCAGACAGATCTCGTCTCTGTTCAGCACTTTGTCGAAAAAGTTCTGGCCGAACCCAACCGAACAGGATTTAGATAGTGGCCAAGTTTCGTTCTCTGGAGAGGCATTTGGTGTTGTGGATGAGGCTGCACATACAAGACGCGACGATACCCTGTGTGTGGGAAATGTTTCGGTCACTCTCAACCCGACGGAGCTGTCATGCACTATCAGCGAACTAGAGAGCATCCACCCACCGTCACAGAGATATGCAATCTACTAGAACCGTCAAATGGTGGTGCCAAGCAAGGGGATACCTCCGTATGGCTGGATCTAGAACCATATTACGGCCGCATAAGGCCGCCTGACATCGACTTCCGTTTGCTGAGAGAATGGAAACGAATTTGCGACAACGATCACGGAGATCCGTGCGGTCTGACGTCTATCCACACCAAGCGACGCCCCGATATGATCCGCTGCATAGACGTCGATGCAATGTGTATTTGTCGAACTGTGGGATCCGGGGGCCAAGTGGGTGGCGCTGAGCTACGTCTGGGGCAAATGGACTTTCGAAGTTTCGAAGAAGGATTCTTTGGGGTCGCTGCGATATCCTGGTGCTTTAGACCCTTCGTGGATACCTGATACAATCTTGGACGCTATCACCGTCACGCGCATGGTAGGGGAGAGATACCTCTGGACCGACAGCCTCTGCATCATTCAGGACTCGCCCCAAGACAAGGCAGCCTTCATCCCCCTCATGGACGTCATATATGGACTGGCCTCACTGACCATCGTCGCCCTATCCGGAGAAGGCGCATACGACGGGCTCCCGGGAGTTCGCTCCTCATCTCGTCCCCCGGCAGAAGGGCCGTCCTTCTTGAACGGGGTGTGGCTACAGAAAGCCCCGCCCCTTGACGGGTTGTGATTCACACCGGCGGATTGAAGTCGAAGCCGATACATGACGCGCGGGTGGACTTTCCAAGAGATATTGCTATCCCGCCGGCTGCTGATATTCACGCCAGAGGTGGTATTTTGGGAGTGTCAATCGGCCACTTGGCGCGAAGACGCCAACTGGGAGATTCTGGATCCCGATAGCCGTGGTCTTACACTGTTTCGCAACAGCGTTTTCGGTTTTGACCATGAGGGCATCCATGTCCCCAGGGCTGATCCGGAATCTTTCAACCGGATGTATCAGGGCTTGGTATCTGACTATGGCCGAAGGGAATTGACGTACGATGGAGACGGTCTAGCCGCCATCGAGGGGATTCTAGCCTCGATCGAGCTCACCAGCGGGATCGGCTCCACCTGGGGTCTGCCGAAGCCGTACCTCGGCGTCGCAATTGCATGGCCGACAGACAACAACGCCAGCAGGGTTCGCAGGCGCAATGCGACTTACATGATCGTCACCAAGCATGATACGATATATGTCCCGTACCCGAGCTGGTCTTGGGTTGGGTGGGTAGGCCCGAATTTGTTCGACGACTCGGTTGGCAATCTAGCGGGGGAGCACGCTGGTTTGGTGTTTTACATGCTTGACGGCGAGAAGGACCGCCTCGTCGTCGTTGAACAGAACCAGGAGTTTATCAAGATGAAAAGCAGCAACCGACCGCACCGCAGGGCGACACCGACTTGGAGAGAAGATGCCTTTCGGGAGGTGTCCATGAAGCAGGTCCCGCAATCGCTGCTTGTCCCGCAGCTAAGACCAGCACTTTTGATCTTCTAGACTAGTTGCTGCACTTTGGCATTGGATCATAACATGACAAGGTCGGATGTACGCCAGGAAGAAAGAAAGTTACATGGAGCAGACGAAGGCGAGTACGACGATGAGGACGGGGAAGAGGAGGATGCGGACGATGAACAGTCTAAACGGATTCAGATGTTATGTGATCGTAGAGGGAACAAGGTTAGAGTGGTGTGGGATCATTACCTCAATGACATGACTACTGCATCTGGAGAAGCAGAGTTGATCATCGTGGGACGAAGCAGTACGGAGTACGCCAGACCTCGTAGTGAGTTGGTTGCTTATATGGTGGAGAAGCAATCGTCAGGCGCGAGGACTCGAGTAGTGAGTGCTACCGTGGCCGAAGAGGAATGGAATGCTTTGGCAGATAGGAAATGGGAGCTTGTATTCTTGCTGTGAGGAATACCTTCGAAACCCAACTGTACAAATCAGATATGTTTGAGTTGGTGCAACTGGGCAGGCGACGAACACTTCTTTCCATCGCGCATTTCGGTCTGCCATCTCAGTTTCGTAGGCCTTGCTTGGGCTGGTAATATGTCCGGAAGCTACCTAGAGTGAACAAGACAATCACCGGTTGTTTGTTTCTGGCCGTCTAATCAGCGAGACATAAGCAGCCGATGGCCTGTGTGACCAACCGTCCCAAATCACAGTTTGCAGAAGTGAGGTCGGACAGAGTTTGGGCTTCTTGAAGACTGAGGTAAGCAAACAACAGGATGAACTGGTTTGTGGTGATGAGAGCTGAAGGAGGACGGCGGGCAGGGGGCGATGGGTGGCGGACGAGACGCGGCGAGGCGAGTGCAGCTGGAGCGAATCAGGGGTGCCACGAGCACAGCACCCCGACCGAAGGGACGTCTCCCACTGGTTTGACTGGCTTACAGCGCTTCAATGTAGGTGTCCAGGTAGGTAGGTAGACTAAGGTAGTGTACAGGCCCCCCGTGCGACACCCGACCAATCACAGACCCACCAAGGGGCCGCTGCATCGTCACCTCAAACGCGAAAAGTGTTTCGTTTTCCTCCCGTCGTCCTCTCGTCTGCCTTTCTGCCCCGTCTGTCGCCCTCTTTTGCCTTCTCCCTGGCCAAACATCCTGACACAGGGCCGCGAGAAGGGTCCAGAAGAGGCCCCCGACTGGCCTTCCCCGTCCTCGCGCTCCCTGCCCGTTCGTTTGATGGCGTCGAGAGTTCGCACCTGTCAGATGGCGACATGGCGTTTGCACGGAGGCGCGAATGGCTGCAAGGCACCTCGACGCGCATGCAATCGCATTGGATTGGATAGCCATCCACGGATATCGTTCTCAGCTGCGGGAGATGTGCGATGACCTAACCACCGGCTGTTGGCCAGATTCGTGAGGCCGTCTCGATTGACATCATCCTCTGGGGAAAGGAGGAGGTCGATGGTGATGGCCTGAGAAAATGAGATTCTGTACTTCATCAACCCACCCACCCTCTCCCCATTCTCCTCCACGTCTGTCCGTATTCATCCATCATCTCCCAAAGGCCAGCCGCATCTCGTCCTCAGCTCCCGTGTCAGACCCGACCCTGAAAACCCAAATGCAGTCACAGCAGCACTGTTTGGGTGTCATTCAGCAGCGGACGGCAGCTCCCCGTTTCACCACCTCTACTCCTCAGATCAGCAGCGTTTGATCGCACTCTCCCTGCCTTTGTCCCTCTGTCTCTTGTTCTGCGCCGCGTACCTTACATAGGCACAGAGAGAGTACATTCCGCACCCTTCTCAGCCCACCTCCGGACCGACGCCCGCCACACAAAACGCATCTGCCCGTTGGTGCCACCGCACATCCCATCGTCGAGACCTTAATCATCTCGACCCTGGACTGACAGAGAAACTCTTTTGACCTTTCGGACAAACGCCATCCGTCGGGTCTGGCAAGAGCGGGACACTCGAGTGGATTGCCTGTCAACACTCTCAGGAAAAGAAAGGTAGAGAGACTGATCAGCTGTCACTTCCCTTGCTCATCTACCCCAGGTCGTTGGCACCTGACTCGACTTACAAGCTTGAGTCGTCGACACAAGCCCCTTCTTCGACTGAGTCCGTCGCAACTGCTTGACCCTCGGCGGCAATATCACAATCGGCGGGCACCTTCACCAGCCTCAGTCCCAACTCCTCTTCGTCCCTTCTCTTCTGCCTTTTGGCCGAGAAATCCGGCTCGTAAAGTCTCCCTTTCCCTCAGACTGCCGATTATCCTGCCCATCATCGCCCCATGCGGCAGTAACGAGGCCCATCAACAACCCTGTCTCACCAGCGCCGGCCAGAGAAGCACAACCGCCAGCAGCCCAATTATCCCGGCAACACCTCATAGCATTGACGAGATCGCCCCCAAAGCAGGGTGCATGAACTCCCCGGCCGCACTACATCTCTTCCATCATCTTCTCAGCCTTCTTGGACCTCTGCCCACTCGTTTTTTACCCAGCCGTCTGGTCGTCCCAGCTGCTGCAAGTCCTAGACCCTGGTTTCTTGGCTGCTCCCCGGTCCCGCATTGGCCGTGCTTCTTCTTTGCCAGCCGATCGTGCCGTCATTCCCAGCGGCCTCTGACACGCAACACGTTTCGGCCCTCGTGTTTTCGGCTGCCTTGCCGCGCTTGAGCTGCCACGCTGCTGTCATTTCCAGCCCAAAACTCAACCGCCTCCCAGCCAGCCGAATCCTGGTCTGTCAATTGCTCTTCAATCCATATTCCTGGCCGCTTGTCGGTGCCAATCGACCCAGTGACTGAACCCACCTTCTTACAAACTTCGACGACGAGATCTCGACGACAACCACATCTACGAGACGGTCTCAACTCAATTTCGACCGAAGGCGACTGTGCCTGAGGACCCTTACAACTTACGCTCGTTGATTGACGGACAGAACCACACGGCCAAGATGACTACGTCAAGGCATCAGCGCTCTCAGCAGCGCTTGGTCCAGCTCCTGTGCCTGGCGTCCGCCTCGACAGCAGCCATCATCAGCATCGGAGGAACTGATCTGACCCTCTCAAACTTTCAACTCCTCACACAACTATCCATACCTCTGGGCTGCCTTTTGACTTACAACAACCCCATCCAAGGATGCACGGCGAACGACTTCTCGAGTACTGGCACCTGCTCAGCGTCTTGCAGGCGTGGCCTGTTGCTCATGCAAACCAACATTCAAGATGTCTGCCAGTCAGTCTCAGTTCAAGCCAATACGGTGCTTGGCCAGGCCCTAGCAGGGAACCTTCTCGGCCTGCTCTGCTCGATTAACCAGGTCACAACCACCTCAGCAGCACCGACAGTCCGGCCGACTTCGACCGTGATAGTGCCGCCGCCATCATCGACTGCTGTTGCGCCTCCGCCTCCGCCGGCTACCACCGCCCCTCCCGTCATCACACCCCCGGCGACTACATCAATACCTGCACCACCGCCAACTCAACCGCCCGTCGTTCCTCCGGCCAGCACGGCGGCGCCACCAGTATCATCGCCACCGCCGCCTGTCGTGCCGCCACCGCCGGCACCCACGACTGTCGTCACGTCTACTACATCCAACGCGGCAGCACCGCAGAGCACGTCGGCTGAGACTACGAAACCTCCGGTCAACCCATTGGATGCTTTGCTTCTCAGCAATGATTCAGACGCAGCCTTCACGCCATCCAACTGGGGGTTATTAATTACTACTATTCTTTTAATTTTCGCCGCAACTTAGTATCTTTGGCGGAATCTCCGGGCCGGCGAAAAGCCTGCGCCTCCACCCGTTTTCACCAGTCGCCAATGAATGGAATGGGCATCACCCCGAATTACCCGTCACTGTTGAGAGGATTTGGAGGTTTCTACATGACTTGTATGAATGAGGACGGTGCCAGCCTGGCACACGGGAGGAGGGTTGGCAGAGGTCTCCTGAACGGCCCTCGCTTGAGTCAAATTGGCAAACCGGCAAACCGCCGCAGGGTTTGAAGAAGCCCTTGAAGAGCTGGACGCCGCAAGTCCACGGCTGATCTCGAGGGGAGACGGCCAACTAATATGTATCACCACGGATTTCCTTTGTCTGCATTACAGAGGCGTTGGGTATGACCTCCGCAAGAAAATGGGAGGCTCTAGGAAAGGGGCAGCGATTACATCGCGTGTGGATTATGATCCTCCACAAGACAGCGCGTTCGAGATACCTTCCTTCATTAGGACTTTGTAACATTAGATACCACAGCGTACTGCTCACGTAGACATGGACGGAGCAAGCCACGACAATCAATGATAGTCATAGTCAAAGTACACCACCAGTGTTCATTTCGATTTGCCTCCGTCGTGAAGAGCATCCGAGCCCGAAGAACTCGGACATGACGCACCTCCAGACTCTCCAAGACTGCGCATAAATCTAGGCCACCCGGGACAAGGGTCCCCAGGCGACGGTTCCCCGCCTCCCCGTCCGGCCACCACCTCGACCGATGCAAGACCCCCAGCCCGGACCCAGCATCGCATGAACGCCCTGCCGTGCCGCCGCCGCTTGTGAGTGGCCCAACAGCCGCAACCCGAGTTCTGACGTTCATGCGGTGGGGGCGGCGTGCCGTGTAGATGGGTGCGCGGGCACAGGCCGGCTGGGTTCTGGGCTTTTTGGTATCGCTGGATTGGGACATGCAGGTCTGGCCCTGAGGCCGGTTTGGGACAGAGCCAAGAGAAGGTCATTTGGAGGGGAAGATGGAGTGGAATTGGGGTCCACATGTCGCGTGGCTTGAGGTTTGAGATTTTGGAGTTGGGAAGGCGGGATCTTGGGGAGGATGAAGTGGAGGCTTGAGAAGGGTTGGTGGGAGGGTGGAGGATGGAGTCGAGGTCAATGTGGGTGCCTCGATTGACTGGGTGCTGGAGAGAGAAGAGAAGTATATATTGGGTGTAGAACATCGTCAAACAGATTCCAGCAGACAATGGAATGTGGAGAGCTGACGGGATGCAGTCCATCTACCCTAGACTGGATTTGGTTCTTGTGAAAGCTTTCTCGTCCAGGGCGACACGACCCAGGTTTGGGCAGGCAAGCGTAGCAAGCAGTTTGACCTTCATCTTGGATCTCTGTTGTCTTCAACTTATTCGATATTGAGTATGGGTGTGTGATGTTTGATAGGTCTCAACTGAGAGGGCGGTGGACGCTGGTGCTGATGTGTGACGCGCCGTGGTAGTTGATGGGGGCGGCTTGGGAGTGCTTTGTGACGATAAAACGCTACGAGCTAACCTCCGTATTGCTGTCGGGGCTTTCTGATCTTCCAACGGCTATGTAGAGAGTCTCTTATTTCTTGGAGCTCGAGATAGCCTAGACTATCTAGGGGTCCTTCGCTCAGTGCAATCGTGACGTAGGTGTATATAGATAGCGCTGATCGGTTAGAAACTGGTGCAACCAATGCTTTCTGATGGAGGGTGCGTTGAAAAGTCACATTGGACTGGGATGGCTTCCAACTATGCGTAGTCTGCGCTGCTTCACGGCAGGATGGTAGTTTTACTGAGTCAGTTCGACAAACCTGTTTCGTCCCTTGATGCTCTTACTAAACGGAACAGAATACGTTGACGTGAACGGCGGTGACGGACGATGCTGTCTGAGTTGGCGTACGAAGAGCCCGAGAACTCTGTACCTTGATCACGCTAACCTCAGTCTTTTGGCGAGTCCATACATGACATTAATTTGTCGCTCCTGGGGTCTCCTTCGATGCGACTTTGACTATGATATACTGACGAGCCAGTCACATGTGTAAGACTACTCCGTTCTGGAAAATGCTTAACTGGCATTTCTGTATATAAAGTCTACTTGAAGTGGTGTGCGAGACAGAACATCGAATTGTGGTGGGTTTCGGCTCTCGATATATGTGCAGCAGTTGACAAGTTATCAACAGGCAGGTCCATCGTGAATGGTTAAGTTGGGGTTTGCGCACCGAAGGGTCTGATGAATACTCCGTGAACTCTGGTTATCACGCTGTCGTCCAGTAGTAGTGCCCTTGTGATATTGCATACGAATAGCATCGGGATGAATGCTGAACCTCATCTGGAACAATATTCCACACGAAGCCTTCTACGTACAGTACAGTCTCTGTAACTACATGGAGTCAGGGACAAGACAGAAGGTTTACGACAATCAGCAGCTCGCATTCAAAGCCGGCCTTCTGTCTCCTCGCAATCACGAAAGCAAATTTGGTCCGTTTCATCGGGCGTGTTGTGTTCAGTAATTGCCTACTTTAATGGGTCTCTGGCTGATGAATGATGCTTATGGAGTCACATATGTAGAAGCTCCAGGTGTGGCAGTAGTTTAAAGGATGTATTTCGCTCAGGTGCGACAAGCTTCACTCATCACAAAATAAAATGAAAGAAGAGATGAGCCAAGTCCGGTCGAAATCCATCTTTCGTGCAGTACAAAGTGGAATACGTAAGAAGTGCGGACGACAACGAATGTCGACGCATTAGACCGGTGGATGTTGTTTGAACAGACGCCGAAAGAGTTCTATGACCACCTATCTAATGATATTGAGATATCAGGAGATAAACTTCATGAAAAGACAACAAGCCTTTATTAGGTGACGGAATCAATTTGTGCAGTAACGCTCATTTATACCCCTTTTCCAAATTCAACAGTCTTCCAAGGGTGCTGCTTGTTTGGAGTTCCTTCTCAGTACGAACGCCAAGCTTTGCCGAAGAGAAGCATTTTGTCCCCGTCAAACCTTATTTCGCCCTATGCGCGAAGAACAAAAACCAGATCCTAATTCCCGTCATGATAGCCATAACAGACCACCTGTCTCCCAGCTCCCCGGTCAAGCCCTTACCCTTGAACTCGAAGTAGAAAGGCTTGTTTACACTCAGGGAGCCCTTGAAAAGAATAGCAGCTAGAGCATCAACCTCGGGCTCGCTACCATCAACGTCGCCGGTTGTCTTTTCGGGCTGGACACCGGACTTAAGACGGAAAAGCTCGAATCCGTTGTTGTACCCATTCAACCCATCCTTACTCGCCCTCCTCCACTCAAAGTCTTCGCGCAGCAGTCTGCTGGTCCCGGCCTCGCTGTTAGGCTGCGGAAGCTCGATAGAGAACCGAAAGGAGTCGACGTGGCTGCCGCTAAAGATCACCGGTCGCAGGTCCTCCGTCGCGTGCTTTTCTTCCTTTCCCTTTCCAGAGGGATATGCCTCCAGGGATGGCAGAATCATGGAGCTGTGCAAAGTTCGGGGATAGTTGGCCGAAGGTGACCAGTTCTTCTCATCCGAACAGACAGCCAGAACAGGGTCCTCGGGGTTCGGTCCGTTGTGGAGGATGATGCAAGGGATGCCGGGGCTCTTGCTGCTGGTCCCGCTCCAAGACGAGACCGCGTAGAGCTTGTGGTTGTTGCTGTCGCCCAGATGGAAGGTACGCGTGATCTTCAATTGGTAATACGCGCTCATGGATGAGGGGAATGGCTGGTAGGGCGTGGTGGAGGGGCTCATTTGGAACGGCCCTTGAGTTGCGGACGATGACGACGATGAAGCGGCGGTGTCGAACGGCGTGTAGGCGGGTGGAGCCACGTCCGGTGCCGATGAGCCGAGTTCGGCTTTGTCTTCGAATGGGTTGCCCATGATGAAATCGTTAGTTTGTAGGCAGGTTGAGTCTGTAGCCAAGCTGGCGCGAGTAAGGATTAGAGTGCAGGTGGCGTTTCTATGTGTAGAGACCTGCGATGGGAAAGGAGCGCGCTTTATTATCTCGTGGAATGGGACTTTGGGTGGGCTGTGGTTAGTTTACGTGGGGGCTTAGAGAAGATCGGCATGTTTTGTTGACGAAAATGACCCTTTGATTGAGAGAAGATGGAGAAAACTGGAGCCCTGCAATGTACTTTTGTATTGCAGCCTAGATGTACTCTCGACAAGATGGCTGACGGGCTATTCATCAACGGTTTATTGTTGGCGATCATTAGTTTCTTCGACTCCATGAGATGCCCAAGCGAAACGTCTTAGGCTAGTTCCCGACGTTGTTGGCAGGTACCCGACCCTGGCTGGCAGCTTGCAAGACTGAGGTACCCAAGTAAAATAAGCTGTGTCATTCCAGTGTTCAAGCGTGATTGCAACTACTGTTAACATTGTCAAATCACAAAGTAGCTCTGTATCATTCCACACCAATTGGCCACAGTTTCATCGGCAAAGGCTGTTCACATGGTGCAGAATTGGATGTCACTGAATATTGAACACACCCGCCCATCCGAGTAGTGTCTCTTTGAGATGCTCCTCGCAGGCCAATAGAAGTGACTTCTTGAGCTTGAACTGGCAAGCAGCAGGCCATAGCCCAAAACAATCTGTGAATGAGCAATGTGTTGCAGATAACAGACATTCAAAGACTCAATGTCGGCTTTAGCGTCAAATCCCCCAACTCTTCTAACAACGCTTTTGTTTCAAACTGTTTATTTCACTATGAAGAACTGCTGACTACACTGCGTTCCATCGAATATGAGCGTGGATCCATCATTCAGCTAACCTCACGACTACTTTCGTGAGATTCTGTGTTCTTTCTCGAACCCGAGCCGAGCCAGTAGATAATACTCTACCGATACAGGCGTGAGCACCTTTCGCAGGGCCCCATATGGGAGCAGTGTGTATTGCAGCAATCAACGCGCGGCGCGCTTGGTGCGTCATTTCGCCGTTTACATCCGCAACATATCCACGGAGACTGCAAGTTCAGGTCTCCGAACTTGTCTTGGAACACCATCTGGGAATCCTTATGAAATCTGCGACCTCCCATTGCGTAGTTATCTTGGACTGTCAAGCTATAATGTGAAAGATACCGAGACTTACGATTATCGGAGATTTGAACCAACTCTAGTAAGTGTGTTTTATGTGTTGAGAGAGGAGAAGTAAAAGAACAACGTCCTTAGCAGAGGAACCATGTTTTTATATGGCTTGAAGCTCAATTCCAGCAGCTCGTCATTGATCAAGGACTGTGAGCATGTTGCGTCGAGGTCAGTCACAGAGTATGGAGTCAAATGTAGTGAGCAAGCCAGACGAACGAGTGAAAGACTGTTTGTTTGACTGGCAAGACGTCTAGGCAAAGGATTCCGTCTTTAAAGGCTCTGCCAATCCATATTGTTTGCAGCAGTATGTTTGATGAAACTGAGTAGGAGGGCTGCCTGGTCACCTATTGCAAAGCCACTCGAACCGTGGCGAGTTAATTTGCCGGCGGACATGGGCCATCACTCGCATACTATGAGAGATTCTTACCCCTGATAAGAGTCAAGTACGACTCATCTTACAGCAAACGACAGAAAATTCTGTGATTGTGTCGAGAAAAGCCTCATTATGTGGCCGATTATTGTTTGTTGTGCCTCCTTGAACATTGGAAGTGATTGCGCCTTCAAATTGAGTCCATGGAAACATTTCACGATGTCGAGTACTCTCACTCTAAAGGAAAAAAGACGAATGACCGGTCACGAGAGCAGACATTGGACTAATATTATTTGGTTCTAGTCATGATATGGCTGAGGTCTATTTTGGCAAATTTGCAGTGAGGGGTCCTCCGCCATTCCCTCGCTGACATCAAACTCATCCCGCAATGCTCAGACTAAGACCGATCGGTCACCGTTGTAGCTGTCAGAGAAGCATCAGCACTATCGGACTTTGGGTGATCATGGAAAGACTACTTTCCGAGCCGGCCTAGTCCGAAGTTGAACCATGCAGTCATAGCACAGGACAAATAGCTCTCGAGTCTCGACAAGTCAAATGAGAGACCAAGTCATGTGATTTACCATCAAAACAGATGTCAGCAAATGATGAGTTGTCGTCTGCGACATGGATGAGGGCAAATATCGCCAAGGACCTCGTCGAAACCTTCTGATCTGGGAAAACAACGCGTAAAACAGCTAACGGCGTAAGCTTACTGCGACGTTTCCAATTCTTGAACGAACTTCAGAGGAGCCTTCTTGACTGCATTGTTACGATCACCCCGCCGACGTTCGATCTGGATGCGAACATGGCGCTATCAGGTCCCCTGCGGAGATGTACTAGAATTCAACCTCAAAGGTCTGCTCTGCAATCCTTGTCGTCAACCACCAGTCTCAGCGTGCTTCGTCTTTTCAGGGTCGTGTTTGTGGTAGAGGTCCCACTTATTAGGCTTCTTTCCAGTCCGCTGGCCGTCGAGATGCCGCGGCTCGCGAGGGTTGTCTCCGACGAAGCACAGAGCTCGTCTGATAAAAGCCGAAAAGTTCCCCACCATCTTCCTTGTCTAGGGCACCATTCCCACCGGAATCCACGGAGGCTAGAACAAAACCACGGGCAAACAGTTGAGCCGATTGGTAGTCGGGGCTCCGTTGTAGCATGGTCCCTCAGTTACGTCAGTGAGGGGACCAACTGGAGGGCGATATTTATATCGCTCGGGTCCCAGACAGACCACGGATAAAGTGACCCGCAACAGTCAACGTACAACTCAGTCGCAAACCAGCAACATTCCCATCTCAACTTTAAGCTCCCAAAACCCAACGAACCGTCAAGATGCCCGCCACCGTCACTGTCCTCTACCCCAACGAGCCCGATGCCAAGTACGACATTGACTACTACATCAACAAGCACATGCCCCTCGCCGGATCGACATGGAAGGCGTTCGGCGTGACCAGCTGGTCTGTCACCAAGTACGCCCCTGGCCCAGACGGCGCGGAGCCCAAATACGCTTTTGCCGGCATCCTCCAGTGGGACAGCGTCGAGTCAGTCAAGAAGGCGCTCGCTTCAGCCGACACGGCCAAGATCATGCAGGATGTTCCCAACTACAGCAACAAGCAGCCTGTCTTCTTGATCGGCGATGAGGTTCACAACGTTACCGTTTAAGCATGTAAATCGAAAGGGGCATGAATGGGCAAGGAGGCAATGAACTAGCATCAAGATGATCGACGCGTGAAAAGCAGCGGACGCGAATAAACACTTATGACCTTCGATGATTTCTATTCCCGCACAAATCATGACACATTCATTTATAACGATCATAGGCTTAATTAACGTTGTCCACTGGGGATATTTGAATTGAGACAACTGCCCTCTGAATTGATGCAACTCAGTTGACGAAAACACACAAAGCTCCACTGTTCCTACACCAAGTCTCGAGGTCTGATCTACAATCAAAGTTTCGGATGAGGACCCGAAACCTCTTTGCGGAATATAGCATATGAATGCCATGAGGTTCAAAGCCCAGAGCCGCCATCAACACTCCAGGCGGCGCCATTGACAAAAGTACTCTTGTCACTGAGGAGGAAAACTGTGACGTCTGCAACTTCTTGCGCATCGCCAACCAATGTCGGTGCAGGGAAGTCTTGTACCCTTTCAAGATTGGCCCGATGCATTGGAGTATCAATCGCGCCACTACAAGCTGTCAGTATCAGACATCTTATTCCGACGCCCCGTCTAGAAGCAGTTTGGAAAAATGGCAACTTACGGTAGCACACAGTTGACTCTGGCTCTACCACCGACCTCCTTGGCTGCACTCCGCACCATTCCTAATGAGGCATGTTTGGAACCAGCAAAGACAGCACCTCTAAGAAACCCCTGAGTTGAGAACATACTACCGACATGAACAAAACTCCCGCCATCGGTCAACACGCCGGGTTTGAGTGACTCAGCGAGGAAATTGAATGCCCCTTTGATGTTGAGGTCAACGATGAATTGATATTCTTCATCGCTTGTGTCCCAGATGAATTGGGTTCCAAGTTCATGGCCACCAGTGCCTGCGAAGTTGGCAACACCGTCAATCTTTCCAAAGTGTGCCATGGTCTCTGCCAAGAAGCTCCTGACGCCTTGACGACTGATGACATCGACAGACTTGACGAGGACTCGGCGTTGAATCTCGGGATCCAAATCGTTTCTGAAATTTTCGAGACTTTTGCCGTTCAAGTCACACATTGCGACCTTTGCCCCTTTTGAGATGAGAGTCTTCGAAGTAGCGAGCCCCATACCTGAGGCAGAGCCAGCAACGACGATAACTCTGTCGGCGAAAGAAGACGTCATTTTAGTGTGGTAATTAGAGCGAAGAGAGTGAAAAGTTTGAAGAAAACAAGCCTTTTCTGGCGATTTCAAGTCTACTTAAATATTTCATGGGCTCATGTCGCTGTCTGAATTTACGAATAATTATCACGTCTCTGAGTGCAATATGGGAATGCTCCGTCTTAAGACGAACCATGATTGGCTCCACCGAGACCCGTTTTCTGGAATGACACGCTAATGCAGCCCGCTGACACTAAGCAACACCAGTTGCCACCAAATCAGGGATACGAGACACATTCGACGACGTTCTCATTCAAAATGTGTAAGTGCTGAGGCTAACAGCTCCTGTTCAGCTATGTCATGCAAGTGGCTGACATGTCCATTTTGGGTCATGGACGCCAAATTACGAGATACCCCACGTTTCGTCATGTCATCAAGATCTGTCCACACTCTCTTAGCCAGCCACGCGGAAATGGTTAACTGCTACAGGAGGTGCTTGATTTGGTGGTCGGTAGTCATCAATACTAGCAAGCTATTTTCAAGCGCTGAACTTGTTTATGCTCGCTCAAACCCAGGATTCAAAGAACCGAACTGCTTGTAGAAACGCATCCTCCTTGCCAGCCTTTTCAACAGGTACATCAAGATTGGGATGGGTTGCAAATCCATGCGGAACACCCCCATACAAGTTCATAGTCCATGGCTGACCAGTGCGTGCCATAGCCATTTCAATCTCAATCCTTCTTTGTATTTTCATACCCGTGTCCTTTTCTGCTCACTGAATCAGTCATCAAGGAACTCCATTGTTGACATTGCCGAGTCTACTCACCAGCGATGGCCAAGCTAGCGGGGCCTGATACTGCTTTGATCTCATCATCACCTAGCAAAGTCGGGTGAGCAGCGAATGCCGCGTTCACCGCCTTGCCTTGAGGGAATCCCAGCGCACGGAATGCGTACCTGCCGCCGAAACAATATCCCACTGTTGCAATTTTTGACATACCCATCTGGTCGCGCATGTATGAGAGTGCCGTCGTGACGATAGGATCAGTGACGCTCGGTCCGTGCGACCCGAAGAACTCGGTCGCGTTGAAGCCGGACTTTGGATCCTCGGATCGTGGCTTTCCATTAAAGAGATCGGGCATGATTGTGACGTAGCCAGCGCGCGCGAAACTGTCTGTGAGACTGTATCACAGTTAGTTGCTTGATCAAATTGTACTGGGACGACTTTGAATCCATGTCACACATACAGTTTGTTCTCCGTTGACTGAATTCCGAACACGTCTGTCAAGTGGACGATGCCAACCGTTGGTTTGCTTTGAGCGGGCATGCCATTGCTACCTGACTGTTCCTTCGGTTTGGATACGTATATGTCCACTTTCTCACTGTTAAGATGGAAGCCGCGAAGTAGTGTGCTGCATCAGTAACTTACGCCCATTGAAGTTGATTACCTGTCCAACCGGAGTGCCTGCGAAGGCAAGAAGAGACAAATCTGCCACAAAGCCGCTTGCCAGTCCGAAGAGATAGCAAGCGGCTAAGATAGTGCTCATGGTGACGTCAAGGAGCCTCATGTCGCATTACCTACGACCGTCGTTGTGGTCGGTCCGCGCATCGCCTTGCGGCTGCGAGAAAATCAAAAGGGACGGATACCACTTCATATATGGGTCATCGTGACACCAAAAGAGAGTTTCCACCGCACACTGCGAGTGCCTCGGGGTCAAATGGCGAAATAAACCTTAGGCCATGTTGACTCGCCTCGCTTTCGAGATGAACAGTGGCCAACCACACATCAAGCTCATGCGACTTTCATCCAATCAAATCCGAGACCTTGTCACCGAGAAATGTCCTTAGAGCAACGCGGCCGATACCGACGTATTGTCCGTGCGATGATAAGATCAGATGAGGGGTACTGACGGGCTCATCAGATGGGCCGAACCAACGAAAGTCCCCGTTGGCAAGTCAAAACATCTGAACTGCTGCGCCGAATGAGCGATACGATTGGTGTGTTGCTCAATTTGTCGATTCCGAGTCGTTTCGTTTTCGTCTCAGCCGAAGCTTGATATCGCGAAACAACCAGCACTTATGCTGAATAGCCTCCAGTTTCCGCGAGAAGTGCCCCGCTTGCTGCTGACTTGCTGCAGTGCTGTTTCTCATGACTTGCTCTGGGTGCTTTGGATCTTGGCATGATTAGCATAAGATTTGCTTCCAGAAGCGTCTGATGAAGGAGGTAGGAGAAGTACATTCGCAAATGTACCTGCATCCATAAGTCTACTCATGTTTCTCCCTGATTGATGAAAGGTTAGGCTTTCTAGGCAATCCATACACATAGTCACTGCAATACTAAACCTATTTCGTCTAAACATCATTGTTACCACCCCCTTCATCGTTCCTGTCCCTGCCCATGTGCTCAAGTTCGTCGAATCGACCTGATTCAAATACATGTAAGCATACACTCACAATCTTCAAACAGCTTTGCTAAATATTTTTCCTTCGTAGTACACACATAGCTGTATAGGAACGCACTGCATGGATTGTTCTGCATAACACTTCGCAGGCTTGAGCGCACTATAGAACAGACGCTGGTAGCACAGTAACATACATAGATGAAGCAAACAAGGCTCAAGCGTGTTTTACTAAGAAGGCGTTAATGAATGTACTTGCTATTAACTAGTCTATCTTACACTCTATTGCATGCTAAACCCCGCAAAGCCATCCGAGGAACACTCATTGATAGCACAGCGATACGCTGGCAGGCCACCCATATAACTGAGCGCCTGCCGGGTTCTTCCTGGAATATTGCCACCCATGTACCAAGACGTCTTATTTTGAGGAAGAAGCGTCCCGTTGCAAATATCATTAGCCCGATGGCCCCATTGTTCTTCGACATCAGATTGCGCATCGATGCGGGTGTATCCGTTCTCTCTTAGATGGACCAAGGTCTGAATGATCCAGTCGCCTTGTATCTCTGAGACGACTGGTCCTGTCGCAGTCGCGGTGGGACTTTGAGGACCATAGAGGAAGAACATGTTGGGGAATCCCGACGTGCTCATGCCCAGGAATGTGCGTGCTCGGCTGCTCCAAACGTCATTGAGAAGTCTTCCTTTGAGCCCCCGAATGTTGACTCGGGTGAAGCTTCCAGTCACGGCGTCAAAACCGGTGGCCAGAAGAAGAGCGTCAAGCTTGTGGATAGTCCCGTCAGACATCTTCACTCCCTCCGGAATGACCTTCTCAATCGGGTTCTTCTTCAATGAGACTAAACTGACGTTGTCTTGATTGAAGACCTCGTAGAAGTTCTGCTCCAAAGACGAACGTTTCGTACCAAAAGGATACGGAGGTTCTTCAGGGGCGAGGTTCTCGATCAACTCAGCATCGTCTGTGAGGAGTCTTTGCCGCACTTTGTCCCGCCAAAAGTAGTAGAATTCGTGGTTCGCCTCCAGGTTGGTGCTAAAGTCCATGTAATTTCCTTGAGTGGGTGCAAAGCCTCCGATATCCCAGAGCTGCTCGAATACAGCTCTCCGTTGTTCTGGCGTATCGTCCATAACTTTTCTGTTAATGGCTGGGTAGGTGAATCCGGCTCTAGAAAGTTTCATCTGAGTGAAAAGTTCTGGGTATCCGGTCTTGCTGGGGGGATCTAGTACTAGGGACTTCTGTCTCATGGGCACTGCACAGTTAGGCGACCGTTGGAAGACAACGAGGTTTTCTGCAGTGGGGCCGAGCTCTTGGACAAGTTGGACGCCAGTTGCACCGGTGCCGATGATGCCAACCTTCTTCCCCGACAAGTCGAGGTGATGGTCTGGCCAACGGGCCGTATGGCATGAGAAGCCCTTGAAGGTGTCGAGCCCTTTGATGTTCGGCACGTACATCTTGGCAGCAAAGCCCATCGCAAGTAGGAGAAAGGGTGCTGTGGCTGTGAGCCCACTGTCCGTTTGAATCGTCCAGTCGTTGGCCTGGGGGTCGAAAGTAGCGTCAGTCACCCTAGCACCATAGGTGACGTCCTTGCTGAGGTCCCACTTCTGGTCGACAAACTCGAAGTACCTGACCATCTCGGCCTGACTGGGGTATTTCTCAGCCCATTCCCATTCCTTCCATATTTCGGGGTCGGAGAATTCGTAGTAGGGAGTGTCGGTATCAACGCGAGCGCCAGGGTAGCGGTTGTGCCACCAGACGCCGCCTAGACCATGGCCTTCCTCGAAGATCTGGGCCCGAAATCCTTGTTTTCTCAAGTTCCGGAGAAGGTAGCAGCCGCCGAAACCTGCCCCAACAATTATGACGTCCAGGGGACGGTTGTCAACGTAGGATGGCATGTTCTGATTGATATCGTGCGTTGAGGTTGCCGGGTGATGTGGCTGAATGATCGGACGAGGTTTCTTAGTTGTTGGAAAGGTATTGACCTTATCAATCCACGAAGATGGTCTTATTTATCTTTGACTTGCCTACCTAAAAAATGCCTACACCTTACTGATAAACACTGCACAGCATGAATGCGCCTGGATAACAGATCCGAACCTGTCTCAAACATCAGTCTCACGGTCATCGCATCCGACTGCCCACCACAGTGGACGATGAGAGTAACCAACCACGGTTGCCCGGATTGTCGAAGACGGAGCTGCTTGGGTAGGTTCGGTGATTACGCTTGCATCGGCGATAGAGCCCTCATCGGATGCGTTTCCCGTAGCGTGATGCTATCGCGTGAACCCAACTGCTTGCTGAGGAGGGTGGAAACGCGGGGAAAGCGGGTCTTTATCTGCAGAAGCTGAGGTTTGAGAAGGAAGCTAAACAAGGGCTGCCTGTTCATTATCAGCTTGGCAGATAGCTGATAGACAGGGAGCACGCATTATTCCAAGATACCAGAGATATCAGGGGGACATTGGTTGGCTTACTGCGCTTGGCATCAGTCCATTTCGTGCTGATTGCCTACACGCAATCTCGTAATACATAACTGGCAATCGCCCTGCAGTTCCGAGCTCATGCAGCTCGTTTCAACTCACTTGACTTTTCAAGAGCCCAAGACGCAGCTTTTCGCATGCGCGCAACCCCCACCGAGCCACATGAAGAGCACACATCCGATACCATGACCGCCTCCAACGAGTCTCCGCCAATTGCTGCGGACGAAAAGTTCGGCACCGAAAAGACTGGAAATGGCAGCCTACATCCGACAAACAGCGTGGTCGAGGGCCACACGCAACTGCAGGAGGATCGGAACGGTCAATTTCACCGCTCGTTTACTCCACGTCAAGTCCATGTCAGAAGCACTGCTTGTCTTGCACAATGTGTCGCATACCTACTAACCTAAACCTAAGATTATCTCACTGGGATCGAATATTGGCAGCGGAGTCTTTATTGCGACTGGGAAGGCGCTTGCAACAGGCGGTCCAGGCAACATGGTGCTCGCTTACCTGATGGTATGCAGCTGTGTCTGGGCCGTCCTCCAATCACTGTCGGAGATGACAATCGCCTTCCCCGTATCTGGAAACTACATTGACTACGCCGATCGTTGGGTTGACCCAGCGCTTGCTTTTGGTGCCGGCTTTGCTGAATGGCTTGGTTGGTTTCTGTCCACCTTCATACGTAGCCTTCGGTTGTTTGCTAATGATGTGAAGGATGGACTGCTATCGTCGCCGCAGAGACAGGTTTCTTCCACGTGTTGATATCGCTATGGGCTGGAGACTCGTTCCCACTGGCGGGAACTGGTGCGTTCCACATCGTTTTTCTCCACCTCTGTGACAAACAACTAATAATTGTCTGAAAGTATCACTCTTCCTCGTCGCATGTTTCATCATCTTCCTCCTACCAAACAGTGCCTTCGCTTGGTTCGAATACGTCACCTCAATCATCAAAATCTTTCTCTTCCTCATTATTATTGTCCTGTCGCTCGCGTTGGTCTTGGGTGCTGGCCCTAACGGTCGTATTCATCATGGCGAGACTTGGACCGAATTGCCGGCGTTCCTAAACGGATTTACGGTGAGCAACGAGGATCTCTGACGACGAGAACACAATCTGACTCACACTAGGGCTTTGCGAACTGTGCGCTGCTTGCGGTTTGGGCGGTTGGTGATCAAGTTTTCATCGGCATCATGGGCGGTGAGGCAGCTAGCCCGCGCTTTTCGATGGCCCACGCAACGAAGCTTGTGCCGTTTCGGGTCAACTTTATCTACATGATCAGCGTCGTCTTCATCACGATTCTTGTCCCCTCAAGCGATGAAAGGTTACTAGGCGGAAGCAGCGTTGCAGCGTCGCCGTTCGTTGTTGCCATTGAAGATGCCGGTATCAAAGGCATCTCGTCTTTGCTCAATGCTGGAATGATGTGTGGTGTTTTGGCCATTGCTGCAGAAGGAGTCTACCTTTCTTCAAGAATATTGAGGACGATGGCTCATCAGAAGCTTCTCCCCGAGCGGCTTGCCCAGGTTGATAATAAGGGAAGACCAAGATGGGCACTGCTCATTACGTGCATCGCTGCGCTCATCATGTCATACATCCAGCTTGCATGTGAGTCAACCCTGTCTCTGGTGGTCCGTCTAACCTCGATGTGTTATTAACCATCCTTCATAGCCGGTGGCTTGACGGTCTTGAACTGGCTGATTTCCATCACGAGTGCTTCATTCTTCACTAATTGGATCATCATCTCGTTCACAAACTTGCGTTTCCACGCTGCGCTCAAGGCACAGAACGACCCGCTCTTCTCCCAAGTCTATGCATGGAAGTCCACAGCCTGGCCTCTGGCACCGGCTTGGCTCATGCTCATATCGCTGATGCTTTTGGCATGCTGCCTGGTTTGCGGTATCGATCCTATTGTAAGTGTACATTCCATGTTAGCCTTCACATGGGCCGTGACGTTTGATCTCAGAGTTTCCAAGCAGAGCTAATCATAAGTGTGTGGTTTTAGGGAAACGACTCGTTCAGCGCGGAGAACTTCTTCCAATACATGATCGGATTTCTCGTCATCGTCGTGTTCACCATAGGATACAAGGTTATCTACCGCACTCCGTGGAGAGACCCGCACACAGCTGACTGTGTCACGGGTCGGCGCAACTTGAGTGTTGAGGAGATAAACCAGCTGGATAACTACTATAAGATGTCTAAATGGAGAAGGTTCCTTACGTATGTACAGTTGTGGTAACGCAACAACGTCAAATTCAAGCAGATCAAGTCTCTAAGACATGGTAATTTGGACCAGCACATTTGAGCAACGTATTTGTCCCATGTGTAATCCGCGTCGAAGAATAAGTCTGAGTGCACAAACTGAAAATTTGTAATATGGTGATGCAAATGCTGTTCCAGCTGTATCATAGATATAACACCAACCAGACAAAATAGAACATGACCCAGCACCGCATTGCGAATATCTGAATGCCAATTTCGCACCATCAGCACGGACATGCGTTTCACGAGCTTGTAGATGTTTTGCAACGTGATTCCCCTTACCTGCTTCGGTGTGCAATGACCATGAATGCTTCTTGACAAGCAATTCTTGGCTTCTATTCCGGTAGAGATAATCTGACCTCACACAATTTCCCCTGCCTTTGGTTACTGATACGCCAAATACGCCGGATCACCAATCCCACCGGCACGGACAGCCGCTATGAGCGAACACTGGGTGCTGTTAGGATCTGGGATTAGCATGATCTCGACCAATAAAATCTTACCCGAATTCTTCGGATACGCCATTTACGCCGCTCACGAACTGGAAAACACGGAGTTTACTTCTGTGGAAAGGGTCTCTATGTAAGACCACGCTCTCGGGGATAACATTCCCATCGGCAACCGCATCCGATTGCACACCAAATAATTGCAACCAAAGAAACCACAACAAGTTCTTGGGTAATAAAGATTTTCAGTACGGACTTTGAAGCCGAAGATTGATAATCCTTTGAGTGAAGAGTAAGACAGCTCACATAGATAAAAGTCATAGCAGCAGGCACCCGAAGTTTGAGTCTCGGATTTTGTAAACAAGCACAAGGCAACCACATTTAACAAAAAAATTCAAGAACATCGTCTCTTTCGATTGAGTATCAACCACTATGGCCGTGAACCAAACAACCCCGAGACCTTCTACGTCCCTGCCACCCCGCATTCCCCAAACTCCACCCTTCCCGTCGTCGTATACAGGAACGCGCTTGCGGACAGATCGTACGAAGCCGCAATGGAAGTCCTCCAATCAAACCAATGGGTAAGAGGTGGACACTGGAAGATTGCCAACGAGAAGCTTGCTGCTACTCCACACTACCATGCCACCACTCACGAGGCGTACACCGTCTTGCATGGCACAGGCACTTACCTTCTTGGCAAGTCGCCCCTGGATGCGGACTTTGACGAGCACGGAAACGCCGTCGGCGTTAAGTTTGTGGCTCGTCCTGGGGATGTCTTCGCTTGGCCGGTGGGTTGACGCCTATCTTCATGGATACCTTACACGTACGTCTGACCAACCCAACTGTACTATGCTGGGGTGACGCACTTCGTCACCGAAACTCAAAATGACTATGAGATCATCGGGTTCTATGCATTGGTAAGTTGGTTGCAGGACTAGGGTCGAGAATCTAGTTCAGAGTGATCTTAACAGTTAGCAGACCGGATTCAACACGGTAGAAGAGCCTTACGACATGGAGTATGCTCTGGATTCGGAAGAGGAGACCGCTAAGAAACGAGAGATGTGTGAGCGTGTGCCGGGCCCAGAACTTGATCAAGTATATGGAAAGGAAGGATCGATGCCGAAGCTTTGGAAGAGAACTGGCCAGTAACTGGAGTAGGAATTTAAGCGTAGAGACGCTGTGAGCCACTTGGACATTGACTGCGACATTCAATGATTCTTGCTACTCAGTACTACTGGCCGCTTCTATAGTCTTGGATGTATATCTAAATTTTAAACGTCCCATCAAAATCATTCCACCTTGTTGAATTCCCTTTTGTAAGGATGTATTTGAAGAACCACCCATCGGTTTATTCGATCAGTTCGAACCGTAGTCCTCAATCTGCCATGCAGAAAAGCCAGGAGCAGGATTGCCCTCTCCAGTGCAGTTCGCAACGACGAACGGGTCAATGATGTCCCCGAGGCCCGCCACCCTCACTCCAAAACCACCAGGGCCAGCCGCGTTGGCGTAGAAGATTCGGTAAGGGATGTACTCGAACAGCCCATCAAATGGCTCTACGGTAAAGTTGTATGGGCTCGGCGTGCTGCAACAGCGGCCAGATTTGTTGCTGTTGCTAGCAGAAAACTGGCCAGTTCGAGCATTGTTACCAACCCAAATGAGAATGACATCGTCAGAAGTTTCGGGAATAACGCTGTAGGTGCCAGGGGCGGTGACCTGGATATAACCGCGGTGTTGAATCACGTTGCACTCAAAGGTGGAGTTTTCCGGGCCCCGGACGCCGTTGTACTCGACGGGACCAGAGGCCTGAGCACTGCTTCGTCGCAAGCCGATTGTGCCATAGCCAGGTGTTAAGCCAGTGGAGTCGGGAGTGCGGCCCATGAGAAGTTCTCCAAGGTCGATGGCGCGAGATGGAGACGTGTACAACACCCCTCGGCACTCTGGAGAGCGTGGCTCAAAGGTGTAGATGGCGAACTCAAGACCTGGCGTGCAAAGCGGCAAGCCGGGGGCGGATGAGCTGCTTGTTTTCGAGATCAGAACATCGGTTGATGTGGAACCGGCCGGTTCAGATGTGATGAAGCTGGTGGGATTTTGAGTGACCGTGTCGGAGGTATCCGAAGTATGGGATGGCTCCAATGTGGTAGCATCAGAAGGCTCCACGGTGGCTGTCTCTGAGTCATCTGAGATGGTAGAAGACTCAGAGCTGCTAGGAAGGATTAATTCCTCCGCAGAGCCTGTGGTACTAGGAGAGAGAATAGCTGTAACAGAAGCGCTGGTGACGGGCGTGGTTCGGGTACCCGAAACCGTGATGGCAGTGGCCGTGATGCCTTCGATACATTGGCACGCAGACCAATAGGCTGTGACATCTGGGCAAGAGCTGGCGTAGGCAGGCTTGATACCCGTGATTACGGGTTCAGGGGCGTCCTGGCGGCGAACATGTACATTTCTGCCGATAATCGGTCTACGTCACCAGTCAGCTTCTGGGACCTATCTTGAAAACCGATGTGATGTCACAGGATGCTCCGGACTTACTGAACCGCAGCCGTCACGAACGCTGCACAAAGAGATGACCTGGAAGCAAAAGGAGGGTTCTTTCTGGCTGTACCCGCAACCGCGCGGCCACAGTTGTTGTTACAGATCGCCGCAGAGGCCAAACCTGGCACAAGCAAGACCACGCTTAGAATGGTGTATGATTTCATGACGAGAGAAAAAGGCAGTGGAAAGCTTGGAAGTAAGTGTTGATTTGGAGATGCCCCGCGAGAGCAAATGCGGCTCAAGATCCTTCTTTTATATTGATTGGGCCAGGTGCATCAACCTCTTACTTTAGTAAGTAGCCTCTTGGCCAAGCTTTACGAGCGCGACATCCATGGATATTTTCAATGTTTTGGGAAGCCTAATGCGAACATACCATTCAAAATATCTTACGCGCACCTGTGGTATTGTTATTGATGGAACGCAGACGGACTCACCGACAACTTGGATCGCCAAGTTGAGCTGATCTGGGGTGACATGTGGACGTCTTGGACACCCAAATAACCCCCTTGCCAAACCCTCTTCCGATAGAATTGCGAAGCCAGAGGATTTTCAATCAGGAAGCAGCAGCATAAAACAACTATGGTTATTAGATACCACAGGTGTCAGGTATCTCGCCCTTAGTTTCCAAATGACCATAGCACGAGTCCCATATTCGAAGTTGACGAGAAGGACAGAAATTGGATACGTATTCAGGTGGCCAATGATATCACTGTATGGTGGCAAATCAAGAAGGTTGACGGGGCGTTCTGGCGTTTCAAAAGTTAGACCACATGGCGGAGCCCAAGGGGGCACAAGAATGCAATTCAAGTCTATTATTTTACGTTGATCGGAAACTGAATCAAGTCTCAGATCGGAAAAACTGAGTTGGGTCACCTTCGGCGAACGTTTTCAGCCCTCTGAGCTCTTTCTACAGGAACTGAGAAGTCTCAGATGACCTTATCCGGTAATATCCACATCTTTTCTGGCATTCGCCAAGCGTTTGAAAGATGGAAAGCCTCAAACGACGGACCGCGACTTACTGCCCTCTGCCCACCCTTTGATCGCTCCCCCCGGAAGATATACAAACACTAGCGCATTTTCGATTTCTTAAAGTCCAATTCTTGTGAAATCTGATTATGTGACTGGAATATCTCCTGCCCCGTTTAGCCAGCTATTACGTTCCGTGATGATCCGCTGACAAAGGCCGACTTAAGCTATCGACGTCCAATGAATTAGCCAGCTGCATGAGCTGTTCAGTGCTCAATTCAAAATGCAACCCAAAATCAATGTCATCTGTGAACCCCATGCCCAATTCCGGAGCACCAGCTAGTGTTCCGCCCGGGGTCATTTGTGCTATGACATCGGAGCGAAAATCTTGTATGGGCAGGATCTCAGCGCCGTCGACTTGGAGGTGGCTCAAATATCCGTCGAGTTGCTTCAGCTCTGATGCGATCATCGTCGCAATTTTGCTTCCATGTGAACTCATCTCATCGAAGAGAGCATGGGCTCGTTGGGTCAGTTGAGCATGGTCTGGGACCAGCGAGAGATCAATGGCAGCACCCATGGATATGGCAATGGCTGCTGTAAACGTCGCATCAAGATCAAACGTCAAGAAGCTTTCTAGATTGATAGTCAACAATGAGAACATTCTTCATGGCAGACGGCTTACCCAGCAGGCCTTGGTTGAGTAGTCTCGATAGAATCTTGATACTCTGACAACATGACTCCATGCAAACTTGGAGAAGACCTTTGACACTTTCAGATTGCGCCCAACGTAACGGGGTCGTATGAGACTGGCCGAGTCTCGACTGTAGGAAGATGAATAAGAGTGGCCTCGTCGTGAGCACGATGCATTGGTGATATTGGAGATGAAGGTGTGCCGACACACGCGACACGCCAGATGTGTTCTCGCTAGAATCGATGTCAAAGAGCTCATTGAGCTGGCCAGCCACATTAGCTATGCTTTGAAGTAGCGATTTTGTGGCGCTTAGATAGCGACTGTCCAGTTGCCCGTCAATGCCGTAAACACCTATGAATTATAAGCGCCGGGGGTACATTCACATAAGGGGGCAACGACCTACTGCGATGGATTTGCCCGAGAATTTGCGCCAACTTCACTTGGATGTGCATGACACTTGTCCTCTGTCCCTGATCGGGGCGGGCAGGGAAAGGCGTACATATGTTTTCATCGTTGATGAACATGGGAACACCAAGGAGAGTAGACATATGTCTCTCCAGCACGTAGAGGGTCCACCACATCAAACGGCACTTCTGGACGTAGGCTTCGTCCAAGTATTGCCCTTGCATCTCTGTATACATTCCACCTTCAAGTGCTAGGCCTACGGCCTGGGATATCTTGTGGATGTCAGTTCCCCACCGCTAAACTTTGTAGATGTCAACTCACATGCCGGTACGCCGACGTGCGACAACTGAGGCATTGCAAGTAAAGTGCTGCACAGCAGAGAACTTGTATCTTCTCAACAAAGTCGCATTCGAAAAACGTGAAGTCCGGCATAATCTTCATGGCATGGACGAAAAGATCCAAGCCAGGAGGAGTTTGAGATCTCGTTGTTTGTACAACAAATGCTTTCCCAAACGCCAGGAGAATTAGGTAGTGAACACACCAGAGACGTGATAGGCCCGGGTGATTAGCTCCGTGTTCATGGAATATCGCGAGCTGCTTCATAAAGCTTTCCTCATCAAAGAGATAGAATAGGCGGCCACAGCGGAACTTGACCGAGTTTATCAGATAAATAGCGAAGTCCTGAGTAGGCAGGTTGGAAGGGCAAAAGTCGTCACGAGAGCAGGAACTCCTACCCCCGTCCCATTTCAAGTCGTAGACGTTTCCGTCAAAGAGCAGGTTGTCGATCTGCAAAGGCGTTCCTGTGACAGCTTCATGGGTCATTGTTAATACCCGTCGTCCAAAAGCCCAATTTGAAGATGTTCCCATGAAAACTGAGTCTCATTCGTAAGTACTTTGTGGTCAACTTTCCATGCAGGTACTAACCAGGCGCTCCATGTGGTCCCGGGACCCAGTCAATTGTATGAAACGCTAAAGGGTTGGTCAGGGGCGCTTCGGCCACATCACCTGGCTCTTGAGCTGCTGTAGCTGCCCTTGATGATGATGGTGATGCAGGTGCAAGGCCTGACGAGCGCCGAGTTGTGTCCAAATTATCGTCTGTGAAGCAGCTCGTTTCACCGTCTTGTTCATTTCCTTCAGCAATCCATACCTCATTCAGTGTTGATTTTTGCACACTTACACATTTCGGCACTCATTAAGTCTTCCAAATTCCTGCTCACTGGATCTTCATTCGGCTCGCGCCTCTCATATGCTGCCAATCTGTCGTGCAGCTCACTTATGTACCTGTACAGCTTAGACCACCTTGCCGCCTTTCTTGAGTCTGGTGTTTCACACTTACTTTCTGGTAACGAGTACTTTCTGATTTTCGTCAGGAAAGTGGCACATCAAGTCTCTCTTTGTGCATTGCTGGCACGGCTCAAGCCCGGAGCATCTTATCTTTTGATGGCGACATCTTGTGCAACTTGGGAGATAAGACAGGTCAGCAATAGGCTTCATCATTGACAGAGGCTGGAAGGCCCTTACGCTTTGGGCACACGTTTACGCGGTGGCCGAGAACGCTTTGAGCCACTTTTCGGGGGCATCTTCAATGCTATGAATGAGCATCTATTGAATTCTCAATAGAGAAGACCCAGCGGTTCAAGATATCGCTAGTTTGGGCCATGCTGCTAGAGCGGGGGAGGCGCGTTTCCGAGTGGAGTAAAAGCGGGATCTGCCCCGATATGATCAATGGTTTCGCAGGAGGAAGGTATCCGCGGAAAGATCGGTATTGTGTCACTTAGATAGTTGCCATCAAGTGTAGAAGACGCTTGAAGAGAGGGCTTCGATGAGAAGACATAAGATGTAAATTTCTCAGATGGGGTATTGAATCTCGAAAGCAGCCCGACGATGTTGCAGGTCGCATACTGCAGCAGATCGGAGCTACATCCGGGGGTACATCGGATGGCAACCCGCAAGAGGTTCAAATGCCGTACAACGAAAAGCCATGCTTTGATATCCATGCCAATATCTGTGTGGCTTGAGATTCGAATTCTTTCTTAAAAACATAGAAAAAATCGCGAGGTCCACTGATCCACGAGCCTCAATCACGTCAACTTAGATGGCTAGTCCATACAGCGACCCAAGTCCCTGTTTCTTCCGGTTTTCGGAGGCTTCCGTGCTGTTGCCCCGCGCGTCATCCCCGCGAACCGAATTGCGGGTGGCTGGTCGTTCTTTACTGGGTTACCCAAGCTTTCCCGCACTTGACCTACAGTCACATGAACGTTAAGGCTGCTCGGACTGCAAGAAACTCCGGTGGCTTCATTTTAGGCGAAAAGGTTCCGTCATAGTCCGGAAAGTGTTTCGTTTGAAACGTTGTCAATACCTAGGCATCTGGTGGGCCCGAAGCCAAACGTACCACTGCCAATGATCCTCCCAACTCTGAACCTCACGCAACTGCATTCATGCACCTTGATGTGCGATTGGTTGCATAGTCGTTGACTTTATCATTGAGACTTTAATATTTCCATAAGATGGACACAAGTATCGGGACAGCCCAGGAGAGGGCTGCGCTGCTACATACTCCCGAGCTGCAGGATTCCGACGCTCAGCACCACACCGCCGCGATGCTGGACCTGCCGACAAAAGCGGTCGACGAAGACGTGGCCGAAGGCCTTGAATTTGAGCACAATTTGACGTTTCGCCAAGCATTCGGCATCTACTACAAGGCCATATTATGGTGCCTGGTCATCTCAACATGCGTCATCATGGAGGGTTATGACCAGATTCTCGTCCAGAGCTTCTTCGCGTATCCCCAGTTCCAGATTAAGTTTGGAGAGTATGTAGGCAGAGGGCCTACGGGATATCAGCTGAGCGCACCCTGGCAGGCTGCGTTATCAAATGCATCCGGCGTGGGCGCATTCTTTGGTGCTCTTCTCAATGGGTATGTATCCACGTGATGGAATCATATTCCATGTTGTCAGGAAGCTGACGAACATTTCCAGGCCCCTTGTCAGTCGCTTCGGACACAAAGCTGTCCTCTTAGGGGCCTTGATCAGCCTGTCTTCATTTATTTTCATTACGTTTTTCGCGCAGACCGCTGCAGTTCTTTTAGTTGGCCAGTTTCTTGCTGGATTCCCTTGGGGAGTCTTCGCTACCACAGCACCCGCATATGCCTCCGAATGTCTTCCCGTAATCTTACGAGTCTACTTCACGAGCTTCACCAACATGTGTTTCATCATCGGCCAACTAATTGCGGCCGGTGTGCTACGCGGCTTCCAGTCCCGCGAGGATGAGTGGGCTTTCCGCATCCCATTCGCGGTCCAGTGGATATGGCCAACATTCCTCATCCCGCTTGTGGCTTTGGCACCCACGAGTCCATGGCACGAAGTTAGACACGGACGTCTAGATGCGGCGGAAAGATCTCTGCGCAGACTACAGGTCGAGTCACCATTAGCAGATCCGAAGAAGGCATTGGCCGCCATTATATACACGAACAAACTCGAAGAAGAGCTTGAGGTCGGCACGTCATACTGGGATTGCCTGAAGAAGTTTGAACTTCGACGGACAGAAATCGCATGCATGGCGTTTATTGGGCAGCCTCTTGTCGGACTCAACCTTGGCTGTAAGTATTTGAAGACACACTCATCTACGATTCCACTGACAAATATCGCAAGATAACTCTACTTATTTCTTTGAGAGAATCGGACTTCCCACGGCAACGACATATTCTCTCAATATCGGGACCACCGGCCTTGCGCTCCTTGCCACATTCCTGAATTGGTTTATCCTGATGCCTCGTTTCGGTCGCAGAAGGATCTACCTAACCGGCACAGGCGTCATGATGGGCGTGCTGTTACTGATAGGAATCCTTCAAATTTGGGGTTACCATACCGGCGTAGGGTTCACACAGGCAGCCCTCTGTCTGTTCTGGACTTTCGTCTTTCAGTTGTCTGTTGGACAGCTAGGCTGGGCACTGCCAGCTGAGGTTGGTTCAACTAGGCTGAGGCAAAAAACAGTCTGCTTGGCCCGTAACGCATACTACATGGTCAACGTTACATGTTCAGTGCTCCAGTCATACTTCATCAACCCCACAGCGTGGGATTTGTCCGGGTACACAGGTACGTCGCCATTGCCTCCTCGATTTCATGCGTACATGCTTCGGTGCAGACTCGACTAACGCTCAATAATCAAGGCTTTATTTGGGGAGGAACCTGCTTCTGTGTGCTACTTTGGGCCTTCTTCAGGCTGCCTGAAACCAAGGGACGAACATATGAGGAGCTAGATGTTCTTTTCTCTCAGAAAATCTCGGCCCGCAAGTTTGAAAATACAAATGTGGGGCAGCTCACTCATAGGGAAAGGGAGCGAGAGCCTTTGGTACAAGGTGAGGTGGAATAGATACATACTGCAAGCAACATAAAGACGGGTTCCCACCTTTGATTTTTACCACATCATTGAAAACAACACCATGATTTCCACTACAGCATGGTAGACAGCCCTACTAAATGTTTCGCAATTGTATGTATTTGTTAAATATATTTACCTTTTCGCATTCTATCCGTCTTGCCAGGCCTTATCGGTATTCCTCCATAATCTATTCCGCGTGCAATGTATCCCAAAACAACAGCCAAGTAGTAAGACAGAATGATGAATATACATAGGAAATGAAGCATATCATAATTTAATCAGTGAACAGAACTCAAGACCGGAAATTGTATGGAAATGCATATGTGGAAGAACTGCAAGGATGCGTGGGATGGTGGGCAGGGATGGGGGAACGGAAACTTCCAAAATATAACTCCTGAACAGGCTTGAACGCCAGTTGAACAAGAAGAAACAGGGTGAAACACGGAAAAGAAAGACACTAAGAGAAACAGGCCCAAACGCCAAAACTGGCTACGTGATGATCCAGAAAAGCCCCAATAAGTAAGCCCAGAGCAGCACCGCCTTGTCCGCGCGGGCATTGAGATTGGTACCACTACCTACGCGCTCGACCAACTTATTACCAAGTTGATTAATGCTGCTGGAGAACTCGGCGGAAGTCGACGCGGACCAATTGACGCCGTTTGCACCAGGAGCGGCGTCTGAGCCGGTGAATGCAATGTAGAGGACGTCGTTCTCATCGTGACCTTGGTTGCCGTTGACGCCGTTTCCGAAACATGAAGTCGCCAGGGCAATGGATGCCTCTCCAACCATAGGCTGATCGCCGTCGTCGCCGTTGGTATCGCCCCAGACGCCGTAAAACTAAGACTCAGTCAGTACAATCAGAACTCAGATGAAATAAAGGCAACTACGAACCAGTTGGTTGTTGCATACAATAGCCATGACACTGAGAGGTTCGACGCCATACTCCTTGGGGTCGAAGTTTGGCCAATTGGGCTTCGATCCCTCGTTGCCAAAGACAACGTACGGGTGAATGTAAGAGTTGAGGTCGCCGTCACCCCAAGAGCTCAACCTGGACTTGAAAGTTGTCTGTGACTGGGTATCCGTAGAGCTGGCACAGCGGCCGTCGCCTGAAGTCTGGGCGCCATCACAGTCGATGTCCATATTGGTGAGCTGGCCCTTTTTGCCCTGAATGTAGATGATGTTGTACTTTTCCAAGTAATCACCACAGTATCCGAAGTCGCCGCTGTCGCCATCCATGCTGTTGAAGCCACCCTTCAAGACGTTGCCGCATTTGCCTTTACCGCGGACATGATCGTAGAAGTCTTTGACATTTTCTGGCACATCAAGTGCAGTGATGACTGGGACCAACGTGACAAGAAATTGGAAGAAGACGACCCGGGGAATCATGATGATCGAGTGAGGCTGGCGTCGTGAGTGAGGATGAGGTGAGACGGCAGCTTCGGGGGGCGAAGGTAAGGATGCTGAGTCGCGCTTTGGGAACCCACACGTGATTTTCGTATGCAAAGCACGGCTTCTTGCAGCGCTAATTATCGAAGCGTTAGTTGGTGCACTGCCCCCAATTTAGGCAGTCAAGGATCACGAACTCGCCAAAGTCTTGGCTAGGACTGTGGTAATTGGGTCCGGGCAACTCACAAAAGAAAGATGATTGGCGGTGGACTGGGCGGTTGTCAGACAGCTGAGGTTAGGTGCAGAGGAGACACGAAATCCCTCGCGGGATAGCTTCAATGTTATATGTGGAAGAAATTGGGACATTTACGGCCAATATTTTACCTTTATGGTTACCATGGCCCAAGATCGCCATTGTCCATTGGATATAAGTTGTGGCGCTGGATGGTCCAGAGTGGATTTGAGCTGGACGCAACGGTGACGGCGGGGTGGCCGAGCTTATTTGGATTAGACATGAGCTAGTCGCAAATTCACAAGTATTCCACGTTGCTGACATCTGCCAGCTTCAGCCGCGAAGCCATGGATTTCTCATGACATTTCTTTTAACAAAATCGAAGCACAAAGAAGCGAACTGTGTCTGTGAACTTGTTCTGACACTACGAGTTCTGCGCGAACTCGGTTTCCACGGGTGGCATTGCTCATGGGCTTCATGGGATCACCAGCTGCCAAGGTTGCGAATGTGGACTGGTATGAGCATAAAATCTTTTTTTCCATGAGCTCGGTAGCCCTTAAGATCAACCAATATTTATGTCTATTTCTATAACTATGAAAGGTGCTTATTGGTTCCAGAGTTTGTCCAGGCTGCCAAGGTCTACGGAAAAGGTTCCACGAGCACGCGGAAAACGCGGGGCAGATTCGTGCTAGCTTACTGCATCAATTGAAGCGCACGAATGATGCTAAACAAACGAATTTCTCGTGCTACTTTGGATCTTGATCTGCATTCTGCCAAGTCTGAAGCGCGCCATGTGGATGGTGCGGGGTGCGGAGGTGACGCGGAGTTGGGCTTCTCCCCACGGCATATTATCTTGCCGGATATCTCATCATCTGTAGAGAGACAAGACGTTTATAATGGCAACATGGGTTCGACACAGGAATTCCATTGTCAAAAGAAAAACTTCTCTCGACGTCCAAGAACCGAGATTCTCATCATGACAGACATCAAATCCAGCAAAGATCTTGTCAACGATCATGATCTTCTTGGAGAAAAGCCAATCGATTCTTCTCGTGTGGTTGAGCTCACAGATGCTGAGAAGGCTATTGAGAAACGTCTTGTGAAGAGAATTGACTGGCTGATTATGCCCCTGATATTGACAGTGTACCTGTTGAACTGGATAGATAGGTAAAAAGACTCTACCTCATTATCACTCTGAGACAGTACTAATACTCAAATCTTTTTATTCGATAGAAACAATTATGCATCCGCACGTCTCGCTGGTCTAGAAGATGATTTGAATCTTGGCCTAACACAATACCAAACGGGACTTTCCATCCTCTTCGTTGGGTATATCTTGGGCCAGATTCCTTCCAATCTTTTGCTTAACTGGTTCGGTCGGCCATCTCTTTATCTTGGGTTCTTTACCATAGCTTGGGGAATGGTATCCGCATTCACTGCTTTGGTGCAGACTTTCGCAGGAATTGTAATTTGCCGATTTATTCTCGGATTTGTTGGTATGCTTTGTAAGGGATCTTCCGAGTAGTGGATCAAAGCTAATGTTCACGCATCAAGAGGCACCGTTCTTCCCCGGGGTCTTGTTCTATCTATCGGTAAGCTAGATCGTGTTCGTGAATTCGTTGTCGTATCCAAACTGACCAAATGGGAAGAAATGGTACACTAAGAAGGAGATGAATCTACGGATGAGTATTTTCTACTCAGGGGCTCTCATCGCTGGCGCCTTTGGCAACTTGATCGCAGCCGGCATCTTGGAAGGACTTGCAGGGGTCCGAGGTCTTTCTGCGTGGCGCTGGCTCTACATCCTTGAGGGCTCAAGTGTGTATCCCTTGTATCGGAGTCTGCGATAGCAGCTAACATCCCACAGTAACTGTTGTCGCTGGAATTGTTGTGTGTATTTTTCTACCCGACTTCCCCCAGACGTGGCGAGCTCTCACTCCAGAAATGCAACACGTCGGTGAGTGTGCTCCGCCCGCATGGGTCGCACAGTTCTAAGAAGATTTCGCAGCGAACAGAAGACTTGCTCTGGAGGCAGCGGAAGCTGATACCGATGAAGAAGGCGTGTCGTCACAACTGAAGGGCCTTAAACTCTGCATCGCCGATCCCAAAGTCTGGATTTTCGCCTTCATCTATATGGGTCTTACCGGAGCGCAAGGGTTTGGATACTATTTTCCCACCCTGACAAGGACTCTGGGCTACAGCCATTACATATCACTTTTGCTCGTGGCGCCACCTCACATCTTCATCGCCATCTGGAGTTACGTCCACGGCATTGTAAGCGACCGTTTCACCACCCGATACTGGTTCTGCTTGTATCCAGCAGTGATCTCAATCATTGGCTTTGTGGTCTTCATGACCACCGACATTTTTGGGCCGAAGTACATGACGTTCTTTTTCATGATGTTTCTCATGAATATCAACGGTACCTTGTTCAGTTGGATTGCGGGGGTCGTCTCTCGGCCACCCGCCAAACGTGCCGCGGCATACGCTCTCATCAATTCTCTCGGTAATTCCGTTTCCATCTGGACCCCGTACACGTACCTTGATAAGGAGTCACCGTACTTCTTCACCGGTATCGGAATTTGTGTTGGACTCATCGCATCGGCTGCAGCGCTGATGACACTGCTGCGGTTCATTCTCATTCGAGAGAACAATCGGCTAGCTAGGTTGGAGAACGAGGACGTCCAATTGACGCAGAAGGAATTGGCTAAGCTCGAGAAAAGTGCGCGTGTGGAGGGAGTCAGTCTCAGTGCGGCGCGCGCTTTACAAAAAGGCTTCAGGTACACCATCTAAATCAATGTAGGTCAAGGTAACGAAGGGCTATTTTGTTCCAATTTTTGTGCGTATGGATCAGGCTTCGGAAGTTCGGCACGAGTGATTATCTTCGCACGCCATCGTGCAAACCGGGAGGGGACAGTTCAATCAGGCTGCAGTGATGCTACGACTGCGTTTTCCAATCCCGATCCACATCAGGCTCGTAGGCCGAACGCTTATCTCGGATCTACCCATGACCACGGCCTGAAGTAGCGTCAACATAGAAACAAGCGCCTGTCTGTAGCCAATGATGTGGAACATGCAGCCGAGCCCTCGTCATATCCAGAACAAGGGGTGTATCCCTGCTTCGAGGTGCATCAGCTGAGGGGGCTGCAGGGTGGTCTGCAGGTCGTTATCATATTTACTTGGAGCCTCGCCCATCAATAGTGAAGTAATTTCTATCTCACATTACAAGACTAACGGAGGATGGGAAGCCACAGAAACCTCAAGGCTTGTATGTCGAGGGTGCCAGCGTGGCGTTGAACATGAGTCCTAAGCATGGATCCATCGCGAGAAGTTGACCAGTGAGCAAGTATGCGTTCACGCCCTAAGTACAACGGCTTACCACCTCCAGAACCGGTCCAGCGGGCCAGCCCGAGCCTAGCGAGGTTGTCATCGAGAATGTGAACGAGGAATCGGCAACTCATGACCACGAAGACGCAACAACAATTCAAACAGCGTCTCCCGCCCATACTCAAGACAGAACGACGCAGCCCAAAGATGATTCAAAATCTCAGAGGGCCTCGAGTTTCAGGGTGCAACGATTCGCTGACAGACAAACACTTTCCGGGTGGTTTCCCCAGATCGACAATGACGAAAAGAATAATTGGCGCATCTGGCTTTCGAGAAGAAGCCGGGCGCTGATGGTGCAGATTGGAATCATCGGTCTTATCCTCATGACTAATTTTGGTTTGACCATATTCGCTGTCGCTAGCTATGGGAGCTCAAATGGAGTAGGGTTGATATACCAGGGTGATTGTTCGAACGTCAAGAAGCTGGATCAATGGCTCCACCTATTGATCAACCTTCTCGGTACAGGCATGCTGTCTGCCTCCAATTACTGCATGCAGTTGCAAGCAGCACCCACCCGCGCAAATGTAGATGCTGCACACGCCGCAAAGAAATGGTTGGATATTGGTATTCCCAGTCTGCGGAATCTTCGATACCTCAGCAATTGGAGACGGGCGTCATGGGCTCTTTTGGCATTGAGTTCCATCCCAGTGCATCTGATGTGAGTACACGTGGGATTGTGCGTTTGGCAACTGAGTCACTGCTGGCTGACATGCGATCCAGATATAACTCGGCTGTTTTCCAATCTTTATCCTCACACAACTACACCGTTGCTGTTATCAAAGATTCGTTCCTAGCCAACAGCACCTGGGGTCTCACTACAGCAGAGGCTAATCGTGCAGGCGATTGGGGATGGAATGACACGCGAGTCAATCCAACTAATTTCGATTATGAACAGATCATCCATGGGATGCAGCAAAACGCGTCGTCATACCAAGAGATGAATTTATCGGACTGCTTTGCCCTCTACGACGACTACTGGCAGCCTCAAGGCAACGTATTGGTGCTGGTCAAAAACCAGTCGGTACAAACACCGCCTGACGATAGCCTCCTGATGTATGTGTCAATTGTTCCCCGTTCTGACGATTGGGGAAAGAACATGTGGGCTCTAGGGAATGGCACTGGCCGTTTCATTGCTCAGTCGCCCCCAAAACCTGTCACCGTCTGGTATCTCGGACCAAAGCACTATGAGGTCGCCCGATGCCTGGTTCAACCTCCCAACGAGCTGCACACGAAATGTCGCTTTGAGTACTCGCCTCCCATCATGTTCACCATCTGCATAATGAATTTCATCAAAGCTTTTATCATGATATGCATTTGGTACTTGAGAAAGTGGCAAGATCAGAAGCAACATAGGAAGGCGAAGGAAGTCCTGTACACACTTGGCGATGCAATTGCATCTTTCATGAGGGACCCATGCGAACAAACGAAAGACCTAGGTCTTTCCACAAAAAGTGATTTCCTGACGACCAGGAAATGGAAGGATCGCCTCGTCAAGCAACCCCCAGTTATTCTGAAAGAGACTACCAATCGCGAGGCGAAAGAGTTCTTTCCGACGGCCAAACAGTGGAGGTCTGCTGCCAGTCTCAAGCGCTGGGTGATCCTTCTTTGCATGTGAGATTTCCCTTCACGAAAATTGCCCTGTTTTTAATAACACTAAGATTTATACGCAGGTGCCTGTTGGTCATCGTCATTACTGCCATTCTCCTCAGTATGTCTTTCGTCAGTCTTCGACACAGGAGGTTTGGAGTCAGCATTCCTGAACTTTGGGATCTTGGATTCGGAGCTCTCACACCCTACACTTATCTCGTCCTCAATCTTCCTCAAAGAGACCCTGTAGGGTTGATAACCAATGTTCTCTTGGCCAACCTTCCTCAGCTGGTGCTTTCCATCATATACATCATGTACAATACCATGCTGAGCACATTTCTCGTACAGAGAGAGTTTAGCCGGATGTACAATCCCGAATTCAGAAAGCCACTGCGTGTCTCTGAGCCAGTTGGGATACAAAGGTCAAGCTATTTCGTCTCCCTTCCTTTGAGATATGGCATACCTCTCTACGCTAGCTCAGGGGTGATGCACTGGTTGATCTCGCAGAGTCTATTTTTAGCACGAATACGGGCTATCTCGGCGGATGGTAGTGATGATGAGGCCAATTCTTTCTCTACTTGCGGCTATAGTCCAATTGCAGTTTTTATTGGTGAGCTTGGGGTTTCTGTTGAAAATTTTCATGGTCTAACACGGACTGCAGCGATGTTGGCGGGGCTCGTGATCATTGTTTTCATCGTGGCCATCGGTTTTCGTCGTTACGACGGAACAATGCGAATGGTCTCGACAAACAGTCTAGCAATCAGTGCGGCATGCCATGTGTTGGAAGAGGATCGTTCAAGCGGATATCTTCTACCAGTTCAATGGGGGGCTATCCAGATGACAGGAGGGGAGGGGAAGTGCGCATTCACCACAGCCGCGGCAGACACAGTCAAAGTCCCACAACAAGGATTGAGATACAAGTGAGGACATAAGATTGAGACGTCTTTACTATCATCGGTCCGTAAGCAATATCAATGGCTTGGCAAAGCTTGAGTTGCAGATGATGCCGGGTGTCGGTCGGCATTTTTGAGGAGGCGAATCCAACATCGGCAAATGGGCGCACCCTGCAACTTACCAGTCTGGACCACACGTGCATGGATCATGAAGCTTATATGCGATAGACTCAATTAAAACTTCGGTGCCGCGTGAATGAGTCATCAGATACTGTAGCCGAAGTAGATGAGCAGAGTCAAATTTATGCACGCGAGAGAGTCGTGGGGTTTCGGCACATGTTTCTGAAGGGAGCCAGCATTCGCATAATTCTGAAGCTCAATATGTTCATCAGCCTCAATCAAGCATTTCTCAATTTGAGCCCCTGTGTCCATGCAACTTATTCTGGGTTTTGAGTCTCCGCCAAAGAGTAGCATCTGGGGTGAGTTTTCTAATCCACAAGTTGTAGGTTTGTGGCTTAATCTGACTGCGCCTTTCCTATCGTTATCTAATATTGAGAGGCTGATGTTGATGTTTTTGTACGATGTGTAATCAACTTCATCAGATGAACTCAAATCAAATACGAACATGACACTAGGTAGCGAAAGTGACAAGCGCGATGGTATTAATTATTCTGATCTTGACTGGTCTGTGCCCTCACAGCGATTTTCTCATTCAGCTAGTTGGGGTCCTTGGTGTTGCTTGCTCATCCATGGACAGTCAGCGTAGTAAGATAGTTGTGACGGCGGACCAAATAGCTCGGTGAGCCTTCATACTGCATGAACGCCTTAGGAGTATTCGCGTCTATCAAGACGTTATCTCTCGACGTCGTCCCCGCAATGCCTTTGACTAAAGACGCATGCGACACTCAGCTTGTCTCGCCAAATCCACCCCAATATCGTGGGGCAAAGTCTTTCCATCGATGGCTTAAACCTACTTTTCTCCTGTCCCAATGCTACTGAACTTGGGGTGCAGAGGACGCACGCCAAGCATCCAACATTCAATCGGCCGCTCTGGAAGCATGACTGATGCGTACATTTGATGACGGCTTGATGTCGCTTTCGCTTTCTGCTACATACCTATGCATACGCCGCTGATTCGGCACAATACTTTTCGGATTTCTCTACATGACATTCATAGTGGCTCTGTTCGTGACCGGTATTCACCGAGGATGCCGCCTAACCAGTGACCCATTACTCTACTGGCAAGCTCATCATGCCAGCCTTTGCGCAGAAGTATCAGCACTTCCATGATCCATCGTACATCAGAGTTGAGAAGCCGTGCAGTAGTTCTCGGATTTACGAGTCAACTCTATCCCGTTCCCGCCAGAAAGCATCCGCCACGTTGAGCTCTGTTGAAACCTGAAACAACCGAAGAAAGATCCTTCAGGATTTCTTAAAGCGCAATTTCACTTTCAAAAGAATGATTTCCCGAAGATGCCGCCTGCTTTCACTTAGTAATCCATGCTGGTGGTTGTTGGATGCCTGTCCCCTGACTTCGGAAAGTTTACCCTAGTGATCGACCGGGAGATGTGTAAGCTAAGAATAGAGTTGGTCCAAGCATTTCGGCCAAGAACGACAGTCGTGTTCGTGAACCAGCTTGCTTTCCAGTACATGGCCGGTGACCTTGACCGGGAAATCCTTCCCCATGCGATGATGAAGATCGCATAAGTCGTGAAATCACACCTAAACGTACAGCAATTGTGGAATCGTATCGGCCTGTTACGTAAATGAGCTCCAACTGATCCGATTGCGCCAAGTCGGTTACGAAGGGTTATTATCAAAACCCAATTTCAGAGAGAATATGAAGACCAAAGGAGGGGTAAATCAGGCGATCTTTCCGGGGTTGTTTCTTTCATTCATTCTGTTTTGACAGTTCGAAAGTTAGAATCGCTCAGCCGTTGAGAATATGCATAATGCCAAAATCCTTCGATCACTTGGGCAAGTCATCATTGCCAGTGTTTCCATACAGCATTCACGTCAGGGAACATCTTCAGTACGTGTATCTTAAGGATTGTTTTAACCAGTTCAGTCGTGATGTTCATCCTTATCAGACATGAATCCTCGGGTGTCTCATTCCTACGTCTGTCATCTGTCAAGAACGTTCAGCCAATACACAGAGATTTAGGGGGAATAGATCGGATGACCTAAACTTCAGGCGGCTCTGCTTGGCTATGCAAACACACATTTTATTTTTTCGGATCTTCGATTGCTTCGCCTTGCATGATTTAAACTTCAAAGATCATCGCTTGTTGTGGACGGTACCCTGAACCTGGCCAACCCTGGCGTGGAATCTAGAATTCCAACCTAACTTGTGTTCATGGATATTGATGAATGATGGTCGAGACTATGAGGCTGTGGGTGTAAGCAATTAGTAAAACCTCAACTCAGGGGGGCTGGTTGAATATCCAGCGACCAAAGCGGATACGGACAGTAAGAGTACCGTCAGCCATAGAATCATGATCATCTACGTGTGATAAATTACAGGTATAAGTACTCTGCGAAGATCCGCCCAATCCACCATCCTTTTCTTCTTCATCTCATCCAGCATCGTCTTGGATTCGATTGAACGGTGCATCTCTTTCCGTCAACACATTTCAGATTTTGCTTCAACTCCATTAGTATTCTTTTCACCTCGTCACTATGCATATCCCGTCTTTCCGTCAGGCTGCCACCGTTGGCATGGCCGTCTATGCCATCGCCTCTATCGCTGCTCCAGTCGCCGAGCCTGAGCCTATTGATGCAGCTGAACTTACGGAGGTGAGTAAACCAACTCGGCCTGCGGCTCTGGAGGTCTTCTTTGCTGACAATCAGGTGATTAGCGTGCCCCCGAAGCAGCTGTAAGTGGTCAATTTGATTATTTGTCTCTCGATTCCATTCCTCGGTGAACATTATTCGCTGACCTCTTTTCTCATCACCAGCCCAATGGAGACGTGTTCTCTGTAAGTTTATCCTCATCTAGAAAAAGATTCATCAGTACTGACGACAAGAAAGACTCTCAGTGATGCTGTCGTCGCACGCAACGAAGCTAGCATGAACGACGATTTGGAGGCACGCGACAACAAGAAAAACGAGAACAAGAATGATCGCGGTCGAGATGGATATCGTAACTGCAGGAGAGGTGGCAGAGGAGGCAGAGACAAAGATTGCAACGGATACGGCGGATATGGCGATGACGATGACTACAACTCCTACGGCAACGGGCATGGAGGCCAAGGTGGAGACAACGGGTATGGTGGTCGCGGCAAGGGACACGGCCAGCAGAAGAACGACAATAAGGACGATCAGCAGAACGGAAAAGATCTCGGCAAGCGTGGAGATGTAGGAGATTATGGCCAGGAGGGAGGAGAAGGAGGATATGGTAACAAGGGTGGTGGTTACGGGAAGGGTGGTGGCTATGGAGGTGGTTATGGAGGTAAGGGAGGCGGTTACGGCGGCGGCTACGGTCACGGAGGAGGATATGGTGGTGGTGGCTACGGCCATGGAGGAGGATATGGCGGAGGATATGGTGGAGGCTACAAGAAGGGCCCGAAGAAGGGCCCCTGGCGCCGCGATGTCGAGAACTTTGGTAGCCCCGACCCCTGGGATTTCTACGACAACTGAACACCATTTCGAAGTCCTCATCGAACGGATGGTAAGACACTTCTGAACAGGTCGCAGATTAGTTTTTCTTTTGGTCGGTTTTTCTATCTGCTACGGAGGAATTTGGCAAAAACATCTCGGGTTTAGATTCTCTGTACATAGTTGAATGTCAATCTTGAATACTTCTTAAAATACCTCCAAGGCGATGAAAACGAATGATACAAGCTCGATTCTCCAGCCAGGTTTCCATCATGCGGAAGTTACCAAATAAATTGACTTAAATCATGCTCAACGAGCCAAGTATGCTGCATTGCTCGTTAGAGTCAAAGTCATAGGCTACCCTAGTTTGGTTATCCTGCATATGTAGAATTTGTCGACCCTGATTGGTGAATGCTGGCCAGTAAGGCACACTGGTTGAGAGGTTTGCGGGATTGGGATCAAGATTGATGGTGAATGCTGCAACGTATTCTCGCAAAGCATAAGCGAGTGTAGCATTTCCGCCAAACAACGTAGTGCCAAGAGTAGAAGTTCCGTCAACTGTGTCAGATGGTTTTAGTAGTGTGCGCAGGACTATCAGGAAGGAGAGAACTCACAGCTAATGTCCTTGGACCACAAGTATGATACCGTGGCCCCATGGAGTTGCGTGCCAGCCTCAAATACCATTTTGAAGGCTTTCTGTCCAGCGTCTATGGAAGCTTGAACGATTGTGGTTGGCGGACAGTCGACCACTGAGGCCCCAAATATAGCTTGTCTCTGAACATAAGGCACGGAGACATCGAAGCCCCCTGTCAAAGCCTTGAACCAGCCAGCTGATTTGATCAGGGGTCCATTGTACACACTTGTGAGATACAGGTCCACAACCTTTTCAATGACTGAGTGAGAAACAGCTTGCCACATGGCCTTGAGATCGGCAATAAGCTGTTCGTGGGTCGATAGACTGACAGAAGTGGAGTACGGTTCCTCAAACATGTCGCGGTCGACAAGCACAGGTACCTTGGTAAAATTCCCTGCCTTGAACTGTCGAGCTGGCAAGTCCATTACAGCGTCGTTGTCAATTGTCGGGCCGTAGTAAAACAGACCATAAACTGTTTCCGCTTCATTGAGAGCAGTCTTCCAAGCTCGCCAAGCTGCGTTGTTCAGAGCCGCCGCTGAGAGTCCATGGAGACAGCTGAGGCTGGCACAGGAGCTGGATTCGAGGACCCGCTGATACTGCTTTCTCACCCAAGTGCGGTTGTACATTGGAGACCACCAAGCATACTCGGGGATAGCCGCACGAAATGGAGGAGCCTGTCGGCCACCGTGCAGCAACATTTGCATGCTGACAGAGCCGCCGCCAGCACTGCCACCCATGATCGTGGCCTTGTCTGGGTCACCGCCAAAATAGTGGATGTTGCGTTGAACCCAGTTGAGAGCTTCGCGCTGGTCAAGGAGGCCAGCGTTTGCAACACCTGAAGCCTGGATTTCGTCTCCAGCAAGGAAGCCGAAAGCGCCTAGGCGATACTGGATAGCAACAAATATGATCTGCCCTTGAGCCTGATGAACGACAGCATCCCCTTCGACAGGTACGCCTGCAACATATCCTATGGTTTCGTCAGTTCAATTTCAATATAGTAATTTAATACCACTACGATTGGGAGAAATCTCACCTCCGCCATGAATATTCACAAGAACAGGTAGTCTGGTGGAAGCAGGCTGTGAAGGAACCAGAACGTTCAACAGAAGACAATCTTCTGACTCGTACGACGCAGTGTTGTTGGGTGCAGTTGATCCAGAAATCCAAGGGGACTTATCAATAGCGATGCACCGAGGCCCGGATACGGTGGCATCGATAATGGGCTTTTGTGCAGGCCAAGGCTTGGAATCGACAGACTCAGGCTTGCTCCAGCGTTGCTCTCCTGTAGGCGGCAGTGCATACCGGATGCCGAAAAAAGAGTTGATACTTGAGACACTTCAGCCACGTCTGATTAGAGAGCTGGGAAAGATAGCCATACCCTGATGTGGTGTTACCAAGACCGATGTAACGGGCATAACCCAGATCAACCTGCGGAGATTCTGGAGAGCCCTTTGATAACTTGACATGACATAGAGCCACGGTAAAAATCAAGAAATGGGTAGAGAACCTCATTTTTGGTTTGAAAGAGTGGCAGCTAAAAAAGCAGTGAATGGACAGAACGCTGTTTCACTAAACACTTGTATTAAGAATAGTAACGTTTTGTGAGAAATATTTTAGTAAAAATGGCAGAAAAGGGAAAAACCGACGGAATGAAAGCATATGTACGGTTTCGAAGTGCTAAAGCTGCGAAAATGGGGTTCCACGAAGATGTCTTCACCGAATACGAATCCGCGTTTACGCGGAGGCCAAAGTAAATTCAACGAGATTAGTGTTATGCATAGCGTTATGGGGTCTGTATGTTATTCCGCATTATCTCGCTCTACTACGCATTTTGTGTCGTGAATGTCAGTGAGAGATTGAAGTATAGTATAAGGGAGGAGGCCTCAAAAGCATGCCAATTACGATGAACTAGATGAGGCGTCTAGTGATTTGGTCAAGAAATGAAGAACTATAATCGGTATTGACCAACAGGTTGAAGCTCAGTCCCTTCGTATACAATATGCCTACGAAACCGAATACGCGGGTGTCTTGTCAAGTGGTAATGATCCCGACCAGGGGTTTTCACACCTTTCTCCCCTTTTGGGACTTTCCATTTCTCGCTGTTTTCCATTATACCGTATACGGCGGCTTCATTTCGCAAGACAGTACCCTCTGCAGATTGATTCTCGGGTGCTTAATCTAGTTGAAAGGCACCTTTAAGCATGATAGTGTGGAGCTTTTTTAAAATTGATCTCCCAAGAGCTCTTATACGATGGATGCTTACGGGGTGACTTGAAGCCCTTCCCATGCAGTTGACTAATGTTTATCATCTCCATTGAACCCGATAACTCCCAATTACTGGCTGTGTAGCAGAATCCTACGATAGTATGGAAATTACTAGGTATGATGCAACATTCATCTCAGGGAACACAAATTTGAAAGTTCCTTAGGGTATGAACAATTTACGACAGAGTCCCTTCCATTGTCAACTCCTCAATGTTTCCTTTGGTGAGATGTTTTGATTTCTATGATGAGAACGCCGAAATCCGATTTCGCACATAGTTTCGTACTCCGTACACTATCCGGCTAAGTCGACTCTGGTCATTACACAGCTCCTCAACAAAAGCAAGCTTCATCATCAATGTATGGATTCCAGACCCAATCACTCAAGACAGCGTATCTACCTTGGCTTCCGTGAAGACAGGTGTCCCGAGATCCAGATCAATCAAAGGCGGCAGGGTAGCTAAGGCGCGCGCAAAGTCTACATTAGGCGACAAACCTTTGCGGCCCTGGCTGGAGAGCTGCCTTGGAAGTTGACCAGTAAGATTGTGGATAAGGAACACCGCCAACGTCCGAATCTCAGAGGCTTTTACACAGCCACGTTGAGTTAATAAATAACATGAGTTACGCAATTTGTTAGCGCTTCCATCGAGAAGTACCCCCTTGGCTGATTTAAGGCTCTAGCTAGCGAGACCGAGGTTGCGATATATCAAGACTAATGAAGAGGATCTCATGCCCGTCGTCTCTCATCTCTGCCCAATGACAATAATTGTTCCTGACCAAGTAGCTTTGCATTAATATATAGAACTCGTCTCCGCCTACAGAAAGGCAGAATAAACATCTGGAATCCTGATTGGAGGGCAACACTGCGCCCCCAGCCGTGGCGCAAAAGGTCTCTGCAACCTGCGTGCTAAATCCCGTGCCAACTCACAACCTTGATGCGCCTATGTCCATCAAGTTTAAATTAAAAGCCCACTTAACTTCAATATTCAAGTTTGCCGGGAAAGAACCTGCAAACGCCATCCACCATTATCTCTGCTCACCTTCAGACCGCTGACCTTCACCGACAGAATGGTCCAAAGCCAACATGTACCATATCCTCCAAACCCTCCCATCTTGAAGCACCAACCGCCGAGCGTTCAAGCGCCGGTATATAGATACTGCCAGACAAAGTGGGAATCTTCATTGGGCGAGCACCTCGTCGTCCACGATATCCTCCAGAGTTGCTGGAACTGCATCAAGTTCACCGCGTTGACTCGCAAACGACTGGACTTTTGGACATGGCTAGAATCGGCTATGCAAGTCTTTGGGAGAGTTGATTTGCGCGTGGTGGATTTTATGCGGGGGATGGACCCGGTGTACGATGCCGAACACGACGCTGAGGTATGCCAGCTCAGGAAAATCATGCGCCAACGTTGGCCTGTCATCGAAAAGCACTTTGCCTGGATCTTTGGCCTCACTGTCGACGGCGTCCAACTCAGTGAGCTGCAGCCCGTGGCGGAACAACACTCATATACCATCACGAATACCCAACCGAACGCAATGGCCTCCAGGGTGGCAGATATGCGTATTTCTGTGGCTGCTCCGCCGTTCAGCAGAGATGAGTCCTTGAGAAGGGAACTGTACGAGTTTGCGCTCATCATGGAGAAGAATCTGACGGATGCTGATGACCGAGCTGAGATTGCATTGTTTCCAAACGTCAATCGTGGGTTCTAGACCATGGTATGTGACCTAGGTATCCTCCTACCACCCTGGTGTCTGACGTGGGCCCCAGGATGTCGGCCTATGTGTACGTCTTGTACGAAGTTGGGTGAAGAAGTGCGTGCTTTTCACATCTCGGAAGTCCCCGATAACGGTATCGAAGAGGAAATAGCGATAAAATAATGACGAAATGCACTTATGGCCGATAGAAGTTCAAAGAAAAGGACTCAGGGGGCACAGCGATGGAGGCAGATCATACATCAAGGAGTCATCGTTAAATCGCTCAGACTATGTGGCAGGCTCTCCTAGCATGCTAGCATTAGTGTCTGAAGATATTGAGCATGGACGCTCTGAACGATTCAGCTTACTTATGCGACGAGAATTTCCTCACATTCTTGTGATAGCTTGTCCCATGCTGACTTCAACATTCTTCCTACGCCACCCCTTTCCACAACTGGCACTCCATTCAGATTCAAGTTGTCCTGTCGGTGAATCAGCATGACGTTGACTACCTCCCATGGACTCATAAATCTAGAGGCGCTTGTCGAGAGCTCTTCGCTTGAGAAGCAGTAAGCATCGGAAAGGATTGCAAATTCGTACTCGTCAGAGAGCCTTTGCCGATGGTCTTGTGGCATCAAGATGCTTCCCAGCCATGGCTCTGGATCTCCACCCTCGGCCTGAACCACACCTGTAATACCAAAACGGACAGGGTGTGGGCCATCCACTTCCGGCAACGCCGGGGGTCTAAGAGCACCACTCTGGTCGTGAAGAGTAAGCTTGAATTTTCCAGTGCGTGTGCGTACTCGAAGATGACATCCGGGTGTATCGTCTTCATTGATCTCAACACATGCTCCCAAACTCGATGGGCGAACCCTGTCCGATGGCTCGTCCAACGGAGGGAATCCATTCCAGTCCGCAGGGTCGTCAAACCTGACAGCTCCAGTCCAACCGGCCCAAGCCCAGGTCGGATAAACTGGTGTTGTAGTGTTCCAACGGTAGACTCGCCTGAGTTCCTGGCGAGGCTGCCATAAAAGGGATTGAAGAAGCATGTCACCTGCCCACGCCCCCCATATGAAGACATCGCCATATACATTGCGGAGAACGTTGAGAATACCCTCGAAACCATTGACTCGGTCATCAGTGTGACTCATATGTCTTGAGGTATACTCTGTCACCATGCGGTAGTAATACTCTTCCGAAATACCGAGCCGATATTGACTCCGTGGTGTTAATGTCGGGTTTTCCTCTCCCCTTGAAAGCATGATGTCTTGTTGTGAAGCACTCTGAATCACTCCTGGCTTGAGCATGTTGAAGTCCTCGCTGCAAGTCATTTGGCCGCATTGAAAGTAGACTGTGTCTCTGGTGAAGACGAGCAACCTCCGCGAAAGAAGACGTTCCTGGTATGTCCATCCTCGAGAGTTCCAGTAAATCTGTTGGACACCATCTTCGAAATCGGGCATCAGTGCAAGCAGGATAAGGTCGTCCGAGTACCTCGCGGTATTCTGGATTTTGCTACGACTGACTCCACACACCCCCGCCAGTCTGGCGTTTGCATCCGTGCCGCTTGCTGCAGTGACCGTAACAGATGCTTTGCTGTAGATGACATCCATGAGTCGAAGTTGGACTGTTTTGTCGTCTCCGTCGCCTCTTTCGTCTTCGTCGCCTCTTTGAATGATGCAAATTGAGTCTGTCCAGAGGTAGCGGTAACCCAACAGTTTTGTCAATTTCATGGCGTCTTGAATCGTCTTCGGAAACTTTCCTTCATACTCCGTGAGTGAGCCGGGCTTCATGAGATTAAGATAGTTGTCCATCCCAAGCGTGAAGACTTCGACAGTGCCCCAAACGTAACTCAAGGCCACAAACTCCGGCGGGGTAGACGTTTCGATGAGACAATTTGTTTCAAGATCCAGCAGCCGGATAAAAGGCTCAACATGCCACCGACGGTTATGCGATTCGGGGTTTCTGGGCCAGCACACAACATGATGGCTGTCCTGGCAGGTCTGGAGCCACGTTCGCAGGAGATCAATGTTGATGAAACTTTCATCCACCGTTCGCCCTTGGAACATGTCATCCTGGCCATTGTCTGCCAGCGGCACGATATCAAACGCGTCGAAGGCATCTTCCCAGCCTACCATCTCAGGCGCAATCCTCAGCCGAAGAGTCGTCATCGTGGTGACGGCCTGGGTCGCGGGATCCACCTCCTCCAAGACCGCGTCGGGAACCCAGCATCCCAAGACCTCGACCTCACGCGAGAACGCGTCCGTCGAGACGGAGTTGGCAATCAGTTTGCAGAATACGCAATAATCGCCTCGTTGGATGACCTCTCGAAGCGTTCCGAAGTGCCAATCAGGCGGGAGCTTCTCTGCCTGAGTCCTCGCCGCGAAGTCTGATGGCTTGAGGTTCATGATGCGGTGTCTGGAGCAAAGATGCGATGTCGGATCTTCAGGCGGGATGTCAATCTCTCGATCCCATGCGCGAGAACCACCGGCATGATCTTCAGGCTGGTTTCTACTGGTCGGACCACCTAACGATATCACCATATTGTTGAAAGAGAATGAGGACTATGGTGGATGTTTTTGCAAGGTGGCCCTGAGATGTGGCGTTGGTGGTGACGAAGATGGAGTGTCAGACGCGTTTGTGAAGTTGCAGGCGATAGCGGCGATCCTTTGGTTGGTGGCGCCGGCGTTAGTAGGGCCAGCGCACACCTACAACACGGGTTCGCCAGGTTGTTAGGCGCGGATTGAGATCGTGAGACAAGGCACTCCAACATAGATGCCCGATGAATAAAATCCCCTGAATTTATCTGCATCGCCGAGCATAGAGGCAAAATTGAAGGTTGGAGTGTGAACTAATCATTCGCTATTCCCTCAGACGGCATGCGCTATTGAATCCCTGGTCTCGCTGGAACGAATGGGCTCGCTGTTCTAGTTGCGCCCTCGTCATGTAGTCAGAGCTGAGGTGAATCAGATGTCCGCACTCTCCAACGAATAAATCGAGAGAAAAACGTCCATTCGCTTGATTTTTATCATCTATCATGGCCGACGAGCTGATGGACGGGTTAACTCGAAGTCTCCTTCGGCAATCCCTCCGCCAGCGCCGCAGCAACATCATCAACGGTCTCACCCCTGGTCCTCCTTCCAACCTTCTCAGCGCCCAACACAGCATCATCTGCCATGGCCTGGTAAAGCTCAGCCATGGCTCTGAATATGTCGGCCTTATTCTGGAATCCGCCTTCGTCGCGGTGAGTATCCGAGATCTCCTCCATCTCCCGCACCCAACGGTAAGACTTTGGCGGCACCAAAGGAATAGACTTCTCGGCAAAATCAAGCAAGCCAGGCGCGGCCTCCTTCATCTCTTTCCGCAGCTCATCGACAACACCAAGCGCCGAAGCAGTCGTGAACGCCTGGATCCCAAGGCCCATGAAGCCCTTCGTCGTGGTCGCGAAGCACATCTTCAATCCGCTGGCTGCGCCGACATCCGGGGAGATGTGGCGCATGTTCAGGGTCTGGGCGAGCTCGGGGCATGCCTCGTTGAGAGAGTGCTTCCCGGAGGTCGGCATGCTTGGGACGTACCATGTGCCGCTGAGGCCTTTGAGCTTTGGCGGGCCGCCGATGATGCATCCGTCGACGAAGCGGACAGGGCTCTTGGCTTCTTCGAACATGGCTGCGATCTGCTTGCATGTAGCGGGCGATACGGCGTTGAGATCGGTGAAATACAACGGCTTCTCAAGTTTTGCTCCCAGTGAAGCCTTGTTGATGCGCTGGGCGATGCTCATGGCATCTCTCGGCGGCGCAACAGAGAAGATGTAGGGTCGCGACTGCACCAGGTGGAGGTCGGACGTCAGGACCTCGACATTGGCGCTTCGGGCCCTGTCAATTGTTGCTTGACTGCCGAGCTGTAAGCTTCGTTGCCGAAATATTTATCAAATAATAGCATACCTTCTTCCTTCGCCGTTCGTGGCGACCGAGAAACCCCTCGAGACCAGCAGTTTGGCGATGCCCATGCCCATGTCTCCGATAGAGAGGATGCCGATCTTCGGCAGGGAGAGTGCCATGGTGGGCAGTGCTGCCGTGGGCGACGTTCAAAGATGCTGGACCGGATGAATTCTTGAATTCTTGAAAACTGCCCCAAGACACCCGGAGCGCATTCACACGTAAGCGCCCGCCTTCTATGGTCCTAAGATTGAGGTTGGAGAGAAGAGTTGCGGCACGATCGTTGCTTTCGCCGATCCGCGACCGGTTGCTCGGATGACGTTACCGAAATGACCCTGTCGTGCAGTCAACGACGACCGCATTGAAGACGAGCAGCATCTAAACGTAACATGCATGTCTATGAATTCGGGGTTTCATTACAATTGAGTTGATTCAAGATTTCTGATTGAAATCCGTCGAAAGTTTGAGATCAATAGGCCTGCCCGCTAGGCCCCGGAGACAAAAGCCGAGCTCCCTTCAGGTTGAAACCCATGGATGAGATTGCCTGGATCTCGTCCTCACCTCATACACCACCCATCCAGATTCTCATTTTCCAGGTTCGAACTTCAATCTCAAAAGATCCCTCACGTTCTTCCACGCAATTCCCTCCCACTGCTCGTCATCCACCAAACCACTCTTCTTCAACTTCTCCATAAACTCCCGCCCCAACCCGTTCGTAGAGAACGGGTAATCAACACTGAAAATGATCCTGTCCATCTTCGTCTCCTGAATCAAGCATGCCATCGGCGCCAGAGAAAACATTCCGCTCGTAGTAACCCACACATTGCCATGCCACACATCCCTCAGTCCCCTCTTCCGGTTCTCGGATGGCGGCCACCGCCCCGAGGACCTGACGATCCGATCCATCATGAACGGCAGCATCTCGCCCATATGCCCCAAGATGACCTTCAACTTCGGGAACCTGTCAAAGATTCCTGCCGCGAAGAGACGTAGAAAATGCAGACTCGTCCGGGAGTGCCAGCCCCAGCCCCATGCGCTCAGCGCCTTGGCAATCTCAATGTCGTAGGGCCCCTCAAAGTTGACCTTCATCTCGTCCTCCGCGGCGAAGGTCGGGTGAATGTAGATCGGGACATCGAGCTCCTGAGCAGCTTCCCAGAGGGGATAGAAGCGGGGCGTGTCGAAGAAACTCCCGTCGTCCAGATGGTTCCCGGTGAGTGCGCCAACGAAGCCTAGCTCTTTCACGCAGCGCTTGAGTTCGACCGCTGCGGCGGCAGGATCCTCAAGGGGCAGGAGAGCGAAGGCGGCGTAGTGATCTGGGTGTTGCTTGATCTTGGAGTATAGATCATCGTTGACGGCTTTGCAAGTATCGGCATCTGGCGTGGCGGGTAGGTGGGAGAGGACCGTCATTCCCACAGAGTCGTTGGCCATTGCCTCGAGCCTCGCAGGTCCCAGATCGCCAAGTTTATCGATGACTGCGATTCCGAAGTCCTTGACGCTGGGACGGTTGTATCTACCCTTCTGCTCCGGGAGCAGGGGAGATAGGTAGTGCTCCTCGATTGCAATGAGGTTCGCCATGTTGATGATATGAATTTGTTTTCGAACTGTGAGCCTCACAAGTGTATGGGAGACTTAGACTTATTCACTTCACTTTGAAAATGTAATTTCGTGACAGAAGGACGTTGAGAGATGAGACAGGCATAATACACCACATGCAGTCAGTGACGACATCGTTGGAGAAGGCCCTCCGGCGCCTACTAGTGCCCGAGCGCTTGAGCTGGTTTGTAGGAACATTCGTCCCATCTATCCAAAGTCGGTGGCCGAAAGATGCCGAGCAACACACAAGCTCATTCATTGATATGAGCTGAGGTATCTGTTAACTTCCATCTCACGGTGTTCATCGAAGCCGAAACGGCACCGAACGGTCCGATGAGGCCCACACAGCCGGCGCAAAGTGGAATTTGAAGGCCGGCACCGAAGTATCAACAGCCTCCGCTCCGTGTTTGTACGGCGCTAATAGTGGAGAAAATGATTTGCAATCTGGGTATCTCTATGCGACGTCCAGTATCCATCATGGCCTGGCAAGTCGGCGAAGTTCAAAACCTGCAGAAGCTTCAGTGTCGATCTGTCTCGACGTTTGGGTACTAAAGCTAGTCAAGACCATGTCTAGGCCATGTTTTGGAGGGTATCCTTCACTGCGTTTTAAGCCCCCCTCGAGGCTACTCCATATTCCTTGGATTTCCCAATGTATTTTTTCACTTGGCCTTCACTGCATTTCAGGCGCTTCCCAAGGCCGTTGTAGCGTTCGCCGATTCCGTCTCAATTTTCGTTTTCTCCGCTCCTTTTTCATCTCCTCCCTTGACTGCAATTTGAACGCCCCCGGAGAGGCTAACAGCGCTATGGGATAATCAATACAGTGACATTCCTAGAAGCGACACCAACCACACAGATCACGACCGTAGCTAAACGCCAGCGCCTTTGTGCGAGTCTGGATTCACGATCCTTATTCACAATCCTTGGTGTCTTGAATGCGAAGAGGATGAAGGAGTTTCGGGAGAACACAGAAAGTGATAGCCGGGAATCGTGCCTGTCTCCATCATCGCCGGCAGTCGTCTGCGATTTCACTGCAATTTCGGACCCCTCAGATAGAGCAACTATGAACCAGTGGACAGAGCGTACGGAGTATCGTATCTTGAATGGATCATCGATGAGATGGAAGATGAGCATACCTACATAATGATTATTTAAAACTTTGGAAGGCATTATAATAACTCGGCACGAACACCACATGGAACAATTGACTCATCAAATCTTCGGTTGGGACGTGGTACTGGCCAATGCGTCCGCGATTCACCGGCAATAACTGCCAGAGACTGGTACCGCGATCCGGAAGCAAACCACCGGATGGCTACTGCACGCGAGCCAGAATGGCGAGGTGGGAGACTGCCGGCTCAGGCACTCGCGAGTCGTAATGCCGAAGCGGAACCGGGGCTGTCGATGGCTTCATCTCCGAAAAAGTCAGCGGAAGCCGGCACGCAGGATCCGTGAGAGTTGCGGAATTGTTAATTGCGGCCACATGTCGGGCAGGGGACGGGGTTGCACTGGGGGCCGGCAAAAGACAGGCATCACCCCGCAGTGCTCTCAGCACAATGAAAGTCAAATATGCAAAAGCCGCTTCAACAACCGAGAAGTGAGCTTGCGTTGCCCGGCTGAGATATACGATATCAGCTCATCCGACCTGGCGAACGACGAGAGCTTTACAAAAAACATCTCGTAGTTGATGTGTCTTGCTCATCTCAACGGCCCGCTCCGATCACAGGAAAACTCTGCGCCAGTCCCACTGTAAGACGTAAGAAAAACTAGGGGGAGAATTTTTCATCCTTGGTCTGGGATGTGGATGGGATGGGATGGGTTCTGAAGGGAGGCAAAAGCGCGGCCGTAATCCTCGCTAGGAATCCGCCGCGCCCATCACCAGACGTGGGCACTGGGAGCGCCGCCCAGGACGAGAGCCAAGGAAAGAAAATTTCAACCGCAGGCTGGTGAGTCGGTTTGTTGCCGCTGTCTCGGTTTAGCGCGGTCCGACAGTGACATGGTCGACTCAGGGCATCAAATGCGCCGTAGGGCTGACAATGACAGCCGGACAGCGACAATAACGACCAAAGGGCGGCAGCAACACCGCGGTGAAACGTAACAGCAGCCGGGGGACGCCGTAGGGGGCCTGTAATAGTCGGAACTTGGCAGAGGAACGACAAGCTCATCTCATCGACATGAATGCAGGAGGATGTTGCAGATACCTGAAGTGGAAAGGATGGTATCAGAGAAGGCGTTCGAGAAAATTTCTACCCGTCAGTGGCTAGGAAAAAGCCTGGAGGTGCCGTGATTTTGCAGGAATTGAACGGCCATGATTGGTTTGGCGGAGAAAAAATTGGGAGTGCCTCATGGGAAGTAGAGGCTCGGACCAAGCTCGGTGGGAACCGGGTGGCGCGACGCGGCGGTCGATTTTGCATGAAGCTTCGAGCCGCAGGAGGAGGCTCCAAAAGGCAAAGAGCAGCTAGACCAGCTCCGGCGTACATACGAATTTCAGTGCCGGTTCATCGGACAAACTGCGAGAGACGTGGTTCTTGCAGCTGAATAGCATGTCATTGCCCGCCCCCCCTTTGTCCAACAGCTCGTGCTCCACGGTCCATTTCCTGGTCGAGAGGATGGCCCCTGGTGAAAACGCCGCTGTTACCCGTGGCCGGCCGACTCCCGAGTCGCATTACTAGGGCGTGATGGACCGCGAGGACTCGTGTGCTCCATCGGCCAACCCCTAACGAGGAAAGCGATGGGGTTCTCGAGCGAGGCCATTGTTCCCACCTCTCGAGATTTTTTGGCCACGGCCACCGTTACCGGTCGCGATGAGTCGACGCGTAGTGGAACCCGTTGAGTAAGAGAAGCCCGTATTATATTTAATCATGCCATGAGCGTCTGGTCGTAGCGGAACCTGTCTGTCCTCCCCCAGGTTTCCGTTTGCTCATGCGTCTGGTGGTTTCCGGAGAAGCGAATCAACAAGCTTCCCTCTTACCCCGATCTTGCTCACCTCTTTGCTCCTAGCTAGCCGCGGTCGACGAGACTGAGATTTTCATCTAGTCTGTGAACGTCCCGTGTAGCCACCGGCCGACCAAACATCATGTTCAGCTCCAAGGAGAAGACGCCCCAGTCCACCGAGGGCGAGGTCACCCCCAACAATGTCTCCAAGGACGACTTGGAGACGGGGGAGACCGGTCTTCACCGCACCCTTAACGCTCGTCACCTCCAGTTCATCGCCATCGGTATGTGACTGATCGCATCCCATCCGGGGTCATGAGTTCCCTCTAACTCGCCGTCGCAGGTGGCACCATCGGCACCGGTCTCTTCCTCGGTAGCGGCAAGGCCATCGCTACTGCCGGCCCCGTCGGTTGCCTGATCGCCTTCATCTTCATCGGCAGCATCGTCTACTCCGTCATGACGGCTTTGTGTGAGATGGCGACCTATATCCCCGTCCCCGGCGCCTTCACGTCGTATGCTTCCCGATTCATCGACCCCACCTTGGGTTTCGCCATGGGCTGGATGTACTGGTTCAGCTGGTCCATCACCTTCGCCCTCGAGTTGACCGCCGCTGGCGTCATCATTCAGTACTGGAACGACACCTTGAGCATCGCCATCTTCATCTCCATCTTCTGGGTCGTCTTCACCGCCCTCAACTTCATGCCCATCCGCATCTTTGGTGAGGTTGAAATGTGGTTCGCGAGCATCAAGGTTGTCACCATTGTCGGATTCATCATCTTCGCCATCTGCATCAACGCCGGTGTTGGTCAGCAGGGCTACCTCGGCTTCAAGTACTGGGTCGAACCTGGTCCATTCAACGCGTCCATTGTCGAGGGTTCCGTAGGCAAGTTTGTCGGCTTCTGGTCTGTCCTGATCACGGCCGGCTTCAGTTTCCAGGGATCCGAGCTGGTTGGTATCGGTGCTGGTGAGACCAAGGACCCCGAGAAGAGCGTGCCCAGTGCTGTCCGATGGACATTCTGGGGAATCTTCAGCCTCTTCGTCGCCACCATCTTCTTCGTGGGCATCCTTGTTCCCTCTGACAACCCGTCGCTGCTGCTCGACAGCCAGGATGCTTCTGCGTCCCCCTTGGTCATTGCTGCCAACTTGGCCGGCGTGAAGGTTCTCCCTGACATCATCAACGCCGTGCTTCTGACCGCTGTCCTCTCTGCTGCCAACTCCAACGTGTACTCTGGCTCCCGTATCCTGGTTTCGCTCGCCAACGAGAGGTGCGCTCCCCAGTGGATGACCTGGACCAACAAGTTTGGCACTCCGTACATGGCCGTCGCGACCACCTCTGCCGTTGGTCTGCTCGCGTACATGAACCTGTCTGAGAACGGTGGCGTCGTGTTTGACTGGCTTCTCAACATCACCGCCGTTGCTGGTTTCATCAGCTGGTCTTGCATCAACATCTGCCATATTCGTTTCATGGCCGCCTTCAAGGCACAGAACATCCCCCGCAGCATCCTACCGTACCGGGCACCCTTCCAGCCTTGGCTGTCGTGGTATGGCCTGTTCTTCAACGTCCTCATCATCCTGACCAACGGCTTCACTGTCTTCATGGAGTGGAGCACCAGTGACTTCTTCACTGCGTACATCAGCGTCCTCCTGTTCATTGTCTTGCTTGTCGGTCACAAGATCTTCAACCGCACGATGCCTCTGAAGGCACACGAAGCCGATGTGACGACTGGAACTCTGCGTGCGCAATCTTAGTGGCAGTTGCGTGGAGATGAGAATGGAGTACAAAAGTAATCTGTAGTATTAGTAGATATAGCTGTAATGATGATACCCATGAGTTCAAACGGATTGTATAGTACGTGTATATCGTGTGTATGATATATGATACAGCGGAATAACTCAACGTCACATCGAAGAGGTCGTGGCAATATCTAGATGCTCTTGCGTATCCGACAATAGTCGACTCAACGAACTCAGGATATGACGGTGTACAGACCGACAACGCCTCCGAGACCAAGGGCAACACTGCGGCCCAGGTTGTATAGACCCCATTGGTCGACCAGGTATTTGGCACCCTCCTCTTCTTCTTGGGTCAGGCCAACAGCCATGATACCCATGTCCCTTGTTTCTTCGGCCTTCCGGAATAACTTCTTGTTGATGTTGCCCAAGAAGAACCTGGTCCACGGACCAATAGAGACGCATAGAGCAGCGGCTGTTGCGAATGCCTTGGCCTTGCTGGGGAGCTGTCGGAACGCAAAGGCTAGGTAACAATAGCTCAAGACGCAAAGGAGGATTGGGGGTGGAAAGGCACGGCTGGTCCGCTTGTACATGTTGGTCCATTGTCGTAGCATGAGCGGGGTCGGGGACTCGAGGAGGCGGGGAATGACAAAGACCGAGAGGCCCAGGTTGAGGCCGGCAACGGCCGAGTTGAGGAAGACGGTCGACGCCTGGAGGTTGCGTAGGCTCGGTGATTGGGAAGACATGGTCGGCTGCTTTTCTACCAACGCGGTTGAATTGCTGTCGAGACGGGAAGCTATTGCGGTAACGGCGTCGATATCTGGGCAGCAGATGGTGCTGTTCGCTGGTGAAGAAGGACAATAATGAGGAGGGGAAGCTGACGAGGGAAGGCGACAAGGATGCGAGGTCCGAGTTGAAGCGTGGAAGGTGGATGCTTGGAGCAGGAAGGTCCCAGACCGCTCCTGCGCTGCACCGTGACTTGCAGCGCGGGACGCGGGACAGCGGGGGGCACCTGCTCAGTGGATCACGCCAGTGGGAGCGAACTTTCCCCACTGAAAAGCCCGGGCTCCCTCTGGGAAGGCACGGCCCCACGGACGCCTGCCTTCCTCCTTTATTCCTACTTTACTTCCTCCCGTCAACATCTAGGTACCATCATATCGCCGGTTATCTCATATCCCCCCGGGGTTTGTTATCGGCCAAAAGTTAGGAAACAAATAATTATTTAACGGTCAAGTACCTGCAGGGATACAGGCAGCTACCATGCTAGGTATCCATGTAAATTCCTTACATCGAGGTGGGATGACGATGATTGCGAGGTCGACTCGCTGTCTTATCTACGCAGCGCAATCATCAACAACCACATTGTGCTCGGGCACAAGGAAATGGGACTCGGTCTTGGCTTTTTGTAACATTGCGTGAAATATGCCATCAAATGGTCTGATAAGTGTGGGCTCTGCAGGTAAGAACATAAGCTACCCCCGTTCCAACAGTCTTTTTCCCGAGGGTCGCGATCTTTACTGGCGAATCCGATGTCGTGCTTGCTCTCGCCGGAGATGGCTCCGGGGGGCCGGTCAGCCCCGGTCCTTTGCACCCCGCAAACTGTGGGTAGATAGCCCGTATTGTTGGAGCGAAAATGGTGAACGATCTGCGGCGGTTTCCCACCTTTAGACGGGTGAATTATCCAACTTGGTCTAGAGATACGCTGAATAATTGCTGTTGGTCTGTAGACTTGCTTCCTGCTCACTGTTGCAGTGCATTTACATGCGGCTGTGGGGCGTGGAGTGATGCTTAATTGAGCAGCATGAGGAAATGAACCCAAGAACGGGTGGGATATTTATCAGTGGAATCTGTCTGTCTGTCCCATTGCCACCACTGAACACTAATTTGTCTCAATCCTCACATCATATCACTTAGCCTATCGCTAACATAATGGGAATTCTAGAGCCAACCTTGACTCCTTTCAAGGGAAAGGTCGTCACCGTCGCCGGCGCAAGTCGCGGGACCGGCTTGGCTACCGTAAAGTATCTCGTCCTTCGAGGGGCGACAGTTTCCATGTCGAGTTCCTCGCCAAACGGGATTACAAAGGCGCACGCAGAGGTCCTACGGGAGTGCCCGGGAAGCGATGACCGAATCATGGCAATGGCATGCGACATCACAAAGTATGAAGACGTTCAAGCCTGGATTGCGGAGACGATGAAGCGCTTCGGACGCATCGATGCCTGTGCCAATGTGTCTGGTAAATTTAACACCGCAATTTCACTCACGAAGACTTACTAATGACCGCCATAGGCAAAGAGCAGAGGGAGCTCTTCCCCCTAACCGACCTTCCTATCGAGTACTACAAAGAGATCATGGATGTCAATGTGGGCAGTGTATGCAGCTCCTTCAGCTCACCACACTATGGAGCATACATCGCATCCAAACATGGAGCTGCCGGTCTGACCAAGGCAGCTGCATTTGAGGGTGCTGCGAGAGGTGTTCGTGTGAACTCTCTCAATCCGTAAGCTGGACTCTGTTTTCTACTTTTTGGGAATCTTTCGTGTCTCGTAAACGTTCTTAGCTTACACGTTTTCAGGGGTACAATCAACTCGGAAATGACCAGCACACCGTTCGAGCTCCCTGACGGTGGTACCTTCACGCCAACTGCGCAAACAATTCCGCAACTGATCAAGAGAATGGCCGAACCTGAGGAGATTGCCGCCTCTATCTGTTTTCTGCTAGGTGACGAGAGCAAATTTGTCACAAGATCTGAATGGAGGGTTGATGGTGGCTGGCTGGAAGGGAGCTTGACTGGATGAGAACACATGTTGTTTTGGTATTCATCGCAAAGGGAGGAGATCCATAAATCAAGTATGAGGTGTATTTCATTGTAGCTTTAGTAGAAAGCATGCGATCTTGGTCTAGTAAGAACTCGCAAGATTTACCTTGGATGTACTTGACTCTTAATTTGACAGTCAGTCACTAAAGTAACGTTCACAATGTACAAGTTACTGCAGGTTGTTAAGAATCACGAGATGGCGCGCGTACTGGGGTCGGTCACTCTCCCTGCATTGGACACTTTGTAATACAGACGACATCCAACCTGCTTCAACGCCTTTGTGTGAACTTACGGCCATGTTGTGCTCCATTCGAATCCTGTATTCATCGATGCTCTATCCCTTTGTTAATAACCCCTTACAACTTGTTATCTGATAGTGAAATAGCTCCTACCTATTCCTCGCGAAGCATGTGTAACTACGGCGTATGCTTGTGTAACAGGATCCTGCAGAAGCGGTTTCATGACCATCCAGAGCAGGACTTTAACATAGTTAAATGACAATATTACGGCAAAGTGCATTGACAAGCGCTCAAGGTCACAGAATATTGGTCATGGGATTCCTTCTGTCAAGCTTGTCTTTAATGCACGAACAAGCCACCACTGGCTTGGGACTCGTGATGAGATGTGCAAAGTAACGGGCCAAGAGAGTCGGTCATTCCCTGCGGCTTCGCCTGAGGGATGATTATTATAACAAGACGCTCCCAAACCCCGCTGCAGACTTCATCGTCCACAAGTCACCGTGCTTGAACACTCGTGGCCATGTTGCGGTCATTGCTGATGTTTCTTGCTGGGGCTCTGCCCTTGGCCTATGCATTTCATGAGCAAGGGCTAAATCAGCCTGTTGCACGATTTCAAAATCCCACCAGCCCGGCCAACCACTTCTTGAATACTACCACGCTTGTTCATCAACCGATCCAGCCCACTTGCCGCGGTGATTCGGGCGTCTGTACTTCGAGCATTGACGTTGCCTGGCACAACACTACAGTGGTAAGTCACACGGCCAGTCTAGAAGTTCAAAACTGACAAATTTCTAGACGAACGGCGAGCCCGTGACAATTTCACACACTCAGCGTACTTCTCAATGGGGGTTGACAACCACAAGCCGTACAAAACCAGTCTCAACAACAAATGCACTGCCAATCTCATCGACAAGAAGCTCAGCTTTCGCATCTTCAGGATGGCGGAACACTACGTCGGCGCGGCCATCTACGCAGAAGCCCCCAACGGTACCGAGGTCGACCACGACACATGTGCCCCCCTTTAACTCGACGAGAACTACGTTGCTTGTCCCGTCGACCACAACGAAGAGCTCATCCGCATCCTCCAAAGCCACGAGAACCAACTGGACACCAACAACAGCATTGACGGCAGCCACCTCTTCATCGTCTTTGACGAAAGATCGATCCTTGTCATCGACGAGGGATCGGGCCCTGACTCCCACACTACCAGCAAACGGCACCTCCGCAATTTCGGACCCTTTCCCGTCGTCTACCAGGAAGGATCCAGGTCGCACACCCTCCTCAACGGGTTCCATCACAACTATTCCATCGACCAGTCTCACGTCAACTTTGTCTAGTGCAACTTCTTCGTCATCAACAGAGCCCAAGATAATAATCACCACCCTTGGCAAAGAAGCCCTCAAACATCCATATCCCGAAACGACGTCTTTCGCCCGCACAACACCCTTCATCATTACTACCACATCGCCAGGAGGCGGCAACGATCCAACGATCGTCCCAGGTAAAGTTTTTCCCAGCCCAACTCAACTTGCGTTTTTCCTTCGCTGACTCTCCCAGTCATCTTTCCTTTCAAAGGGCCCCCCATCATCTGCTTCGGCTGTTTCCCGGGCATTGAGTTCCCTCCAAAATTCAAACTCACACTCAAGGTCCCCGAATTTTGCATCAAAATCTTTTTCATTGAGATTGGCAACTGCGACAAGGGCGGAGACAATGAGGGTGGTGACGATAACGAGGATGACAAAAATGATGATAAAAAGAATGACGATGACAAGAAGGACGAAAAGACAGAGACAGAGGAGAAATCCACGTCGACGTCAACCTCGTCTTGCACAACCACTGTCACTGCAACCCGTCAAAGTGTCTTTTGCTCCGTCACAGTCACTTCCATCACGAGTGGTAGGTCTCCAGTTCCGCCATTCCAAAGGTACCTTGACTACACACCGGGCCGAATTGACGTGAAGTTATGCAGGAGGCAATGCCAGACGCGACGCGCAAGCTGCCGCCACGAACTGTGTCACCAGCGCCTACACCACAATCACCAGCTGCAGTGCGACGCCAGCGGCAACGACCGTGACAACCACATCCACAGCAACCCACACCGACATCCCACAACTATGCAGACCCGGAAAATGCGGCGGCAGGAGCGAGTGGTCCTTCTGTTCACGATTACAAAAGAGAACAGCGGCGGAAGAGATATTGCTCGCACACCGGTCGTTGGAACTGGCCAAGCGCGGCTTGCCGGGTCACGGGTTCTGGTACGACCCAGATGAGGACTATACACCCGAAAACCGTGCCAAATTTCTCCCCGAGCAAGTAAATCAAATCGGTGAGTGGCACGCCATCAAGGACGAAATTGGGCTTGATATCAGAGGCGGATATATGCCGGAATACGTGTCCCACGGCGACGCAGATGTTGTCGGCGAAGAAATGGGTGGCTCAATGACGTCGAGTTACATCCGCTTCGGCAAAGACGTCGGAGCAATCGCGCTCGAGGGACTCTACGGCTGCACATCCATCGTTATAGCCTCACAGCGTGGCGCATGGGTCAGCCACATCTGGGAGGAACAGCTAGGAGAAGAGGGGTCATGGGCCCTCCTGAGCGAAAGGCTTGGCCCGCTACGTAAGGGATATCACGACAAAGCGCCACACGATTGGGAATACTCCGCGCGCGATTTTATGATGTACGGTCTGGAAGACATGATCATGAAGCCGGATCTCGGGCCTGAGGGCGTTTTGTTTGGAGACGTGAACGAGAACGGGGACGACCCGAACCAGAAGACGCCTCAAGACATCAGCGTGCGCGCTTTCATCGTTACCCCGAAACAAAGGCCAGAAAGGCGGGTTGGGATAGAACTTATCCCCGACGAGGAGCTCGTGCTACCGGGAAATCTCGCATATGAGCCTCAGGTCAACGGTTTGACAAGCATCATTTCTGATATCTTTGGAGAAATTCCTATTGAGGTGGTCGGATATCAGCCGTCCAATATCCCTTACGATCTGTTCAAATCTTGGGACAGAAGGACGATTGAGAAAGACAGAGAACGTGGAGGGAGACCGGCGACAAAGGAAGAGGAACAGGAATGGTGGGCTGAGATGGAAGCGGAGGCGGGCGCCTGGCAGAAGAGGTTCTTGGCTAAAAGCACGCGGGGGAAGCTGCTTCTTCAATACCAGCCCGCGGATCCAGATGTCTGCAGAGAGGAGGCTACATGGCGGCTGTGGATTGAGGACCACGAGGTCGGAGATCGAAGCGACCAGTGGACCGCGTCCGTGGACCAGACTTTCGTGTGGAATAGTGGTCCAAGTAACAGCAAGAGACGTGGCAATGAGAGTTACCATGCTCCCAACCCACTCCGACCCAGGCAGGGCAACACCGGCTGCAGTGCGATGCCAGGCCACCCGACCCCGTTTCTATGCCGGCCCGAGACTTGCGGCGGCGGGGACGGATCTTCCTGCTCAAAGCCGCCAGACAGATCATCAGCGAGTTCACAGGAGCTCACACGGCGCACAGCGGATCTAGAGAAGCGTGGGCAGACGGTCGAGGGTGAATGGCCCGACCCGGAAGACTACGAAGGGGACCGTAGCAAGTTCATGGTTGCCCAGATGGCAGAGATCAGAGACTGGGAGATGATCGGAAGACAACGCGGCACTGCTGTCAACAGTCTTTACGAGCCTCAGTACGTCGCGCACGGCTCCAGAGCCAACGTCTCCCCACAGTTCGCCGGCATAACCACGTCCAAATATGTTCTTTTCGGCAAAGACGTTGCGTCAATCGCGCTTGAGGGACTCTACGGATGCACGTCCATTATCGTCGTGTCCCAGCGCGGCGCGTTTGTGAACCACGTTTGGGAGACAGTGTTCGCGTTTCCCAACGAGTGGAAGCGAGACGTGGAAGACGAAGACAGCGAACTGTGGAAAGGGCTCTATTCAGTTCTTCCGACCAGCCCCTGGCGCAGGGTGGTGGATTTTGCGAAGTACGGCTTGAAGGATCTGGTTGGCAAGGAGCGCATTGGGCCACCGGGCACTATGTTTGGCGACGTGGCGACACCGGATGAAGATAATAGGGACAAGAAAAGCTCTGAAGACCTCAACACGCGCGCTTTCATTCTCACGCCCCGCGAGAAGCCGAAGCGAGTGGAGAAGTCTGAGGACGGTACTGAGTGGCTATTCTTCCCAGACGAGGTTGCCCTTCCTGAGCCGATCAACGCAATGGATGGCACGATCGCATACGAAGATCAGGTTGACTTCCTGAAAAGTATGGTCAGTTCTATCTACGGCGACATTGACGTGGAGGTTATCACGTATTCACCGCCTCTGAGTACGCTGCAGATGTTGATGGATAAGTATAAAAAATACGAGGAGAGAGGCGGTAAAGACGCGCAAGGGGACGAGTTAAACAGGGAGATTGAAGAGTTTAGCAGGTACCAGCGTGAAACCTATGGGCCCACGCCGCGGGGAAAGCTACTTCTCCAATATCAACCCGCAGATGCAGAGGACTGCAGAGACCAGGCGGCGTGGCGTCTGTGGATCGAGGACCGCGAGTTAGGGGACCGAAGCGACCAGTGGAAAGCGTCCGAAGACCAAACCTTCGTGGCTCCGAAGGATGACGAGTCAAGCGACGGCGAGGGAGCTGGAAGTGGAAGTGACGGTAGTCCTGCCAAAGTACGGCCCAGGCAGAACAAGGTCAAGGCATGTCCCGTCTATCAAGAAGAGCGGTGCGAAGTCTCTGACTGCGGCGACGCCTGTCCAGTCATCTTGTGGAAAGACGTGGAGAAACCGACCTGGATGACCAAGCGCGGCATGCCGGTGGAGGGCGACTGGCCGGACCCGGAAGACTACCCCGAGGGCCGCCGGGACCGGTTCCTCATCAACGAGTTCCAGATCATCACAACCTGGGACCCGAGCCCGAACAACCAAGACCTCGAGTTCTTTGGCGGATACGATCCGGTCTGGGTCCGGCACGGCCAACCGGAGCATGTGGGAGTGGAGATGGCGGGCATGACGACGTCCAACCACGTTCGCTTCGACTCGCAGGTCGCGGCCATCACTCTAGGGGGTCTGTACGGCTGCACGGCGGTGGTTGTGGTATCCCAGCGCGGGGCGTGGGTGAGCCACATCTGGGAGAACCAAATCTACACCCAGAAAGAGTTCACGTTCCTGGTGAATGATATGCTGCCCAAGGGAATCGCCCCCGGCGAGCCTGGAGCGGAGTGGATGAAGTTCGGGATGAACACGATGGTGGAGAATCCAGACCGCGCTCCCGAGGGTGTGATTTTCGGTGATGTCAAGGACAAGGACGACAATACGAAAGACGACGCAAAGTCGACCCAGGACATTGGCACGCGCGCCTACATCATAGCTCCCCGCGTGCGAGCCGAGAGGTTCCGCAACGGCCAGCTCGTCCCCGAGTCCGAATTCTTGAACGACCTGAACCACAACGTGGGCCAGATACGGTACCCGAGCCAGGTGGGCAAACTCAAACAGATCGTACGAGACAGCTTGGGCGACATCCCCGTGGAGACCCTCGACTACTCGCCCCAATCGCTGCCGAACCGCATAGTTGAGAAGTACGAGACGCTCCGGATGGAGAGGGTCCGGGCATGAAGGCAGGAGACGCCGGAAGAAGCGAGTGCGAGACGGAAGGAGCGTCGTGGGTTTCAGGAGAATGTCGCGAGGACCTCTGTCCGCGGGAAGCTGCTCATCCAGTACCAACCGGCCAAGACTTGTAACGACATGGCCAGCTGGAGGCTGTGGTGGGAGAACCGCGAGATCGGCAACAAGTACGACAGTTGGGTTCCCGAGTCGAATCAGATCTTCCAGAGTAAGAATGCGCCGAGGCAGGTGTGTTCTATCCGAAAACCCACGTCCGGGGCGTCGACAGCTACCAAAGGGGCTTCTTCGCGGACGCAGAAGCCGACTGGATCTCTCGCTGCGACTCGTAGTGCTGGTTCCAACTCAACGCGGCCAGGTTTGACGGGAACGGGTTCAACTCCTCGAGTCACGACGACCAGTGGTTTGAATGCAACAGTCACTCGCCGGCCCGGGTCTACGGGATCATCTCGGACATCAGGGGCTCTTACTAGCACTACGAAAGTCGTCAGCTCAAAAACAACTTCACTGAATAACACCACGACCTTCGTTAACTCGAAAACAGCTTCATCGACTAACACAACCACCTTCATCAACTCAAAGACAGCTTCAATGGCCAATTCTACGACCTTACTTCACTCAAAGACAGCTTCAATGGCCAATTCTACGACCTTACTTCACTCAAAGACAGCTTCACATATCAAAAGCGCAAGCCAGTCATCTTCCAAACCGTCAACCACGAGTCCGAGATCGACGTCAGCCACAAAAGCCACACACACTTCCATCACAACCTCGCCTTCGACATCACAGCCCAAGATATCAACTTCCCGGGCCCCGGCAACCATATCGACCAAGCCGAAAGAGGCCGAACCCTCGCAAGGCGTCGACATCTACTACGAGCTCGCGATACCGTCAGGACAAGGTCGACAAAGCCGGACCGGCAGATGGGTGATGATGGCCCGGGGCAGTACAGCATTAGACACCTGCACGGCGCCGCACATAGGAGAAGCAGATCCCGTCGACGACCTCAAGTCAAAGCCGTGGCCAGAAAGCATAAGCTCCATTAGAGACATCCACGGCCGGAAGAACTGCAAGTACGCCAGCAAGGATGGCGGTCCCGGCAAATTCTCGTGTGATGGCGTCTCCAGCTTTGACTGCGTCACGCACACGGGTTATGATGCCGGCGGGGGCTCGTCGACGAGCTTACGGTGTGGAGAATTGGGGCCTAATCAGAAGAGCTATGACCCGAGGGTGACTTGCTGGTTCCCTGTCAAGTAGATTCGTAGGACTCTAGACTCGTTGGACCGGTATGATACTAGTGATAGAGATGGGCGTGTTTCCGTAGGCTCTTGTAAGAAAGCAGGTCTTTCCGATGTCATCTTCGCATTATGATACCACGAGAGGCTTCAAATCATTGGTGCTGTTCTGGGATGTACATGCATTGGTAGTTGGGTTCCTCTGGTTCGCCAGGCCTGCAAACCCTCCTCAAAAAGTCCTCGAGTTCCTTGTCCACAGGTTCAGGCGTTTGAATTACACCGACCCGACGGAGGAACTGTGTCTCATCCACAATTTTCAAAGAGTCAGGCAGTATGAAATCCACCACCAGCTTCCTGTAGTCATCCGGCGTCTTGTCCTCCCAGACGTTGTCCGCCCTTACGATATCCTCACGCAAGCCCATTAGCCACGGGTGCAACGCTGAAAGATAGTCGTGAACCGTAACGTAGGTATCAGACGCGTTGATGACAAGGGGCCGTGCCTTCTTGGGCCTGTGCGTGTCGCAGCAACGAAGAAGCTCCATCTCGCCGTCTTCGTCGTCTCCCGACGACTCAGAGCCCCGTAGTTCGTAAAGCTCCTTATCGGACAGTTTACCAAAGAAGACGCAGTCCTTGTCATCGGGATGGGCGTGCCGCTCGTGTCGCTCAAGCCACTCCTCCTGCCACCGGCGCAAAAGGTCAACGTGCATGGTAATCGACCCGATTTTGGGTTCGGTAAGTGATGAGTGGGAAATTGGGTGAAGGCCGGAGTTGCCTGCAGAGCCTGAGGCAATAACGTAGGGCTTGCGTTCCTGATGTCGCAGAATGAAGACGGAGTCGGATAATGGTCCTTGGAGTCTCCATATCCGGGACATATCGGACTCAGTTTTGATTTCTACTATGAGCGTTCTTAATCAAGCTCTTCGTCTCATTCTGAGCGAGCATGTCGTCAATGACTCGTTGCGATTCATTCCTCAACGCCCGAGATTACCTTCTCAAATTATGCAATACCGCTCGGACTTGCGATTGGTGTCGTTTCAACGGCTAAGCTTGATGTGCTTTCCATCGATCTGAGGACATTGTTATCGGACCGGATCCGGCATAGCCCCACATGGCGCGCCGGAGCGGGCCCCGGCCGTGTAGATGTGAGCAGCATACAACAGACTCCTCCTGAATCTGAGCGAACAACATCAACAGCCCGTTTCCTCATCCTGATACGCATTGGAGGATCAAACTTGGAGCCAAATACTTTGTTTTGATTGGTAGCTATGGTTATCCTTCTCTCCAGGGCACTTCCCCAGGTCCTCCCATCCCTGCCGGTATCGCCTGGTCCACAGACACAAGCCTCTCCATTTGCACCGCTTCTCGCCAAGGAGCAACGCCAACACCCCTTCTCTCAACTCCAGCCCGGCATCTCGTGAGGCTTTCCCCCCAAGAGATGCCGCCTTCCTGCGCAGGGATTGGTAGACCGCCCGTGTTTCCTGTTCCCACCGTGACCTAGTACATCCATTCCGTTCAAAATAGCAACCCAAAGATTGCGAGTCCCGAGTTGATCGAGTCCTTCCTTCCATGTCCGTGTCCGTCGAGACAAATGTTTTCAAAAGTTGACTGAACGCAGCTCTTTGCAGCCGCACCCAACTCAACATGGCGCTTGAAACCCACGCGACCAACTCTCAAGGACCACATAGTTTCTGTGGATCTTGTGAATCGGTGCTGTGGGTTGCGCAAGAATTGAAGAAAATAATACGCCATTCCGACCCCCTAAATATAAAGCAGTTCCTGTCCATACTAGCCTCAAGTCGCCTTATTCAAGGAAGCCCATATGCGACAGGGAAAGAAGTAGTAGTCCGGGTTTCCCAATCCAAATGAGAGACCGCATACCAACTGGGCCATCGAGGCTATGGCAGAACTTTTTGATGTACAAGACGAGCAATTATGCTCGCGTTTCCGTTGTTTTCCGGGTCGCTGCGTCAGCGTAAACGTAAAATGTGCGTGGCATCGTAACGTGCCAGCTCGAAAGAATGCCTCCTGGCGAGGAGAACATGTCGTAACGTCATACAAGTGTACTTTTTTTCCGTAAGAGCGTTAGGGTATTTTGTCGTCGATTTTTATATCGCCCCCTTCTTTTTCGATAATCCTTTTCCAAGTTTTGTTTCCGGTCACCGGACTTTGCGTCCCCTGTTCCTGCCGGCAGATTTTCCGCCTGCGATCCTCCACATCCAGTTCTCAACGGTGTCATCGTGATTCGATCTTAGCGACTGACTCCCCTTTCTAATTGGCCTTTTGTTTATTCGCATGCAATGACGGACTTTTCGGCTCGGGCTCTCATGTGAGTAGCGTGCGTCTCGAGGCATCGGGCCATGAGATGAGTGACTGTAGAGGGTTAGAAAAGGTCGTCCCGACTGAATGGAGCAACTTACCTGGCCACACAGCAGCTTTATCAAGCATGTAAGCTGTGACACGCAGGATTTTGGCTGCGTATCCTGTATGATCGTCCATTTGCATCCTAGCATCAACCCCCACAATGCTACCCTGGACGACTTCCAAGTTCATCTTCATCTCAGCCGAGGCCAACACCTCCTGGACCTTGCCCAACAACTTGACATCTTCCTCTTCCAGAAGCATAATTGCTGGCACTTGGGATAGATCAACTTCATCTTGACCCAAGATTCCCAAATATCTCCCGATGCGATCTTGCAGAGTCGCGACCCACTCGGCCAAAACCTGAGCGCAGTCAAAAGCGCACATTGCCGACTGAAGAGGCAGCTCGCGGCTGGAGAAATCGGCAAAAGTAACACCAAGCTTGTCGGACATCGCGAGAGAGTCAGCGGCGTAGAAGGCGGCCTTCCTTAGGTGCTTCTCTCTGCGCGATGTAGAGCGGTTGGTAAGCTGCGGAGCGGCTTGGGTCGGGGGTGGGAACTTTGCCGAAGAGAATTCTGGGGATGAGGACTGCGTGGCTGGCGATTCGGCAAAGACCGAGCTGGAGACTGAGTTATCAGAAGGGTCTGTGCCATTCGATTCAGTGTTTGAGGCGGGTGAGTGCTCGGCGTGCTGAACAATTTCGCTACCTCGCGAGAGCTCCTCCGCCATGGCGTCCCAATCACGTTGCCAGAATTTCTCCTTTGACCGAGCCAAGTTTACAAAAAGACGAACGTAGGCCAAATCGAGCAAAGGAATGGCGTCGGCAGATAGCGGGCCCAGGCCAAAGGGGTTCGGTCGCTCCAAGCTGTGGTTCGGGTTGCTTGCCCATGCCGCTTGCCACGCCTTGAGGGCCGGCTCGATATGGCGATGCATTTTTTCCGTTTCCTCGTTTGTCCAGACCTTGTTGTGGTGGCGTTGTCGGGTTTCCCAAATGTAGTTGTGCAGCGCGTTAATCAGAATCAGGCATCCGAACGTAGACGGCTTCAAGTCGCTGGTGGGCATGTCGTGGATATTAACTCCTGGCCCGAATCCTTGCTGCGCATTGAAAGCCTTCTGCTTTTGTTGCTTTTCGTTCGTCCTCAGCAACTCCCCCAAAGCCTCGTGGAATGTCATCCGATTGTGGTTAGCCGCGCGAATGCCACCCTTTGCCGCAAATGCAGTACTGCTCTCAGCGGAGAAGAACTCTTCATCGCATGGCAGGTCAAGCAGGATTTCCGAGTTGGTGAGTGCGGGCGTGTGGTTGTATGCTGCAACCAGAAGACTGGAAAGGATGAAGACAACATAAAGGGTGCGCTTGCGCTCTTCCATCGTCTTCCACTGGATCCACTCGGCCTGCTCTTCAGAATCCGTTCGCATGCCGGGCCAGTTGGCATCATCACGCATGTGAGTGTCACGAGTCTCGTTAGACTCGACGCGAATAGGACGGAGGAGGTCGGCAGCCTGAGCCAGGCTAACAAGGGCTGCACAATGGGTTGAGGCGATATCGCTGGCTGTCTTGTCGCCGCAATTGTGGCCGTAGACGACGTTGAGAAGCATGGCTTGGACGAGCCAGACCGGGGTGTGGACTGAGGATTCCTGGCTGTGAGAGTTCGGCTCGGATGCTGGAGTTCTGCGTAAGTCTGCCTTTCTCACATCGGCCTTCCGCCTCTCCTCTAGATACAACTGGATCATTTTCTTGGCCATCTCAAATAATTCCCGAGATTGGACATGGTCCATTTCGTACAAGGCGCCAATGGCAGACATGGAAAGGATGAGACACCCGCTCCCACCGACGCTGTTGGATCGGTTGGTAGCGGAGGGCGGCATCTCAAAATTCAAAGTGGGAATGTGCAAAAACGGCAGATGAGGGTGGAAGTAACGAAGATAAGCGCCAACATATCGTTGTAAGTCTTGAGTGCTAGGTAAATTCTTTACATGGTCAGGAACACTGTTGGCTGTGTTCTGAAATCCTGGCGACAACGGCGAGCTTGGGGTCGCAAATGAGTATCTCCGTCCACCAAAAGGAGCGCACTGCGAAAGGGCACCGACGATGGCACTCCGGGTAGTATCCGTGATGGTGGAGACAGGCGAGACGCCATGGTTTCCGCCATTGAGAGACGAGGGGGTCTCGGGTCCTGCATTGTTGAAGTTGAGCGCCTGGTTCAAGTTTTGGGTGTTGTTTAGACCCGAGACCATGGACGGACTCAAAGAGCTCAGAGAAGGGGGAGGCGTCGAAAAGTAGGCATCATTGAGTTTCTGGGTAGACGGCTGGGGCGACACGGGGGCGCCGTTCATCAGGTCGGGAAAGACGGAACCATTCATGTCCAGGGCAAAAGGGTTCGGGACCTGGGGAGGACCCATTACGGCCGGCTGCCACATGGAGCTGGTGCCAGCCGGGGGGTGGTTGGAGCCGTCCACCATGACATCGCTAATGCCACTCTGGCTGGTGGTGCTGATGGCGGACGGGCTGGATCCGTCTACGGCATTGTCGGCGCCCTGGAACGACATCTGATGCTCAAAACCGGTCAACCAGTCGAAGCTGTCGTCCAGTTGAGTAGACGACATGTCGCTGGTCAGGCCATGGAAGGGCGAAGCTTGATCCAAGGCCATGGACTGGGGCGAGTCGTTGTAGTGGAGAGCATTAGGGTTGATGGTGGAGCCCGGGCCGAACAACAACCCCTCGAAGTCGAAGTCCGGGTTGAACACGGCCATCGGCGGGGCGGTCCGCAAGCCGCTGAAGTCCATGTTGTTGATACCATGTGTCTCGAGCTTTGGCAAACCGTGAGCCATACCGCGCTGGCCCATGGCGGCTGACATGCCACCAAAGTCCATGTTGTGCACGGGCAAGCCCACCAAACTAGGGTGACGACTGTGTGTGCCAGGCGGCATGCCCCTCGCTACCTGGGCATTGGCGGCCGCAATCATCTGCATGGCATTTTGGTCGACATGGCTGATGGTGTTGGCTCTGGGACGCATGGAAGCCGCGGCGTTTGCAGCCGCAGCAGCGTTGGGACCAGCGACGCTGTTCTTCCGGGCGCGACTCGTTCCAGGCGCAACGCCGCTGGCGCTCTCACGGCGGTTGCGGGGGCGCGAAGAAGGGGTGGTCGTCTGGTGAAGCTTCTGCTGGTGTCTCAGCAGCAGATCGCGACGAGCGAAGCATCTTGTGCATTCAGGGCACTCAAAAGGCTTCTCCTTGGTGTGGGAGCGCTCGTGGCGTTTCAAATGCTCCAATCGGGCGAAGGAGCGCTGACAAGTCGCGCACACATGAGGGCGGGGCTTATCGGTTTTGGGGGGAGGAAAATTGGCAGGCGTCTTCGTGTTCACGGTAATAGTAGAAGCTGCTGCTGTATGGACCAAAAAAGACTCATTGTCAGCTCAGTTTCAGCGGTGGCATGGTATTCCTCAGGGAAAGAGAGGCAACGATGCAGTGGTGGTGGTGGTGGTGGTGGTGGTGGTGGGATTGAATGGCGGGACA